GAATGGGGTTCAACCTATCTGAGAAAATAGAGGGTTCGCTTATCCATACAGTTCCTATATTGTAATGTAGAGAAGAGGTTTGGTAAAAAAGGCTGGTATCCGAAAATTAAAAAGATTTTCGTGTACTGACAGAAAAGACAGGAAGTATTGGAAATCCGGAAAGATAAAAGGTTGGTATCCGGAAAGATAAAAGGTTTGTATCCGGAAAGATAAAAAGTTTATATCTAGACATATGAAAGGTTGGTATTCGGAAAGATAAAAGGTTTGTATCCGGAAAGATGAAAAGTTTATATCTAGAAATATGAAAGGTTGGTATTCGGAAAGATGAAAAGTTGGTATCCGGACAGATGAAAGGTTAATATACGGAAAGATGAAAGGTTGGAATATGGAAAAATGAAAGGATTGTGTCCGGATAGATGAAAGGATTGTGTCCGGACAGATGAAAGGATTGTGTCAGGAAAGATGAAAGGATGATATCTGGAAAGATGAAAGGTGTGAATATGGAAAGGTTAATGGTTGGAGTGTGAAAAGATGAAAGATTGATATCTTGAAAGATGAAAGGATGATATCCGGAAGGATGAAAGGTTTGAATATGGAAAGATTAATGGTTGGAGTGTGAAAAGATGAAAGATTGATATCTGGAAAGATGAAAGGATGATATCTGGAAAGATGAAAGGTTTGAATATGGAAAGATTAATGGTTGGGGTGTGAAAAGATGAAAGATTGATATCTGGAAAGATGAAAGGTTGGAATATGGAAAGATTAATGGTTGGAGTGTGAAAAGATGAAAGATTGATATCTGGAAAGATGAAAGGTTGGAATACGGAAAGATGAATGGTTGGAATCCGGAAAAGTGAAAGGTTGGAATCCGAAAAGATGTAATTTTGTTATCTGGACATATACAGGATGGTATCCAGAAAAATAAAAGTTTTTATTCGGAAAGATGAAAGGTCGTATTCGAAAAGCTGAAAGGGTGGTTTTGTAAAAAATGAAAAGGAGGTTCCAGAAAAAATGTGTTGATGTCCAAAAAGATTGTTAAAGTCTCACGAAATTATTAATTTTCAATGGAAAGAATGAAGTTGAATTTGTAGAGGTTAAGTAGTTGAATGTGAAGAAGCAGGATCAGTATCTGATTTGAATAGTTGAAACGCCCACCATTGTCTCCAGTATACGCCTACCCTTATCGTAAACATGAGCTCTATACGCTCTATACTCTATCTGTCTATCAACCCCAACCCCCTCCTCTCAACTGTCATACAACAAAACCGTTTACAACCTCCTCTACAGTCTACACACCCTGTAAACCCTTCAAACATAATCAGCCTTTATCCCCTCCTCTACTACTCTCCGTTCATTTCTTATCCCCCTATTCACTCCATATTCCTTTTCAGGCCTGAGTCCTCTTTCAGCCCTTATCCCTATTCACTTCTACAGCCTTTTCCCTATCCCCCTATATAATCGCCATTTGCAGGCCTTAGTCTCTTTTCTCTCCTACTCACTTTTCAGTCCTTATTCCACTTTCAGCCCTCTTCTTCCTATTCAATGCATTCCATTTTCAATCCTTATCTCCTTATTCAGTACTCCCCTTTCAGGCCTGAGTCCTCTGTCAGGCCTTATTCCCCTATTCGCTCCTACACCCCTATCAGGCCTGAGTCCTCTTTCAGGCCTTATCACCCTATTCGCTCCTCTCCCTTTTCAGGCCTTATCAAAAGGCTTTAACCAAAGGCTGGATTCATTTATGTAATTTGGTGAAATTGTGAAACCAAATACTCGAGAAGAAATTACAAGGTTCGAAGATTAGTTTCAGGACGGATATCTCTTCTACTGTAGTCTTTAATCTGCAGTGTAAAGTTTTCTGATATTCAAATTCAAACTACGTTTAAACATGAGGTTTTAATCATGACAAAGTGCTAGAATTAGACTCACATTCAGCCATCTTTAACTCTAACAGGTATACAGATTTATACAAATACAACCATCTTTAACTCTAACAGGTATACAGTTATACAAATACAACCATCTTTAACTCTAACAGGTATACAGATATTACAAATACAATCATCTTTAACTCTAACAGGTATACAGATATACAAATACAACAATGCCAAGAACCATGAAGGGCAGTAGATAAACTTAAGATTTTTAAAGTCGGAAAATCAAATTCGAATATTGCGAACAGTCATTGCCAGAATCCCAGAACTGAACCTACAGAATAAATTTTTTATTTTTCATTTTTTATCATAATTTATCGGTGATATATGTATGCAATGTTTAATCACTATGGATATGTGTATATATGTAATTATAAAGAATCAAACAATTGCTATATATGTATATGTGCGCTATACGTTTTTATGCTATTAATTGAATGATACTGTTGACCGGAAATGAATACACACGTTCCCCACCTTAGTTCTACGCCCATTGCTAAATCATTGTTTACACTTCTTGTATACCTTGAGCTAAATATATCCTGGAGTATAATAATATCACTAATCCAAGCTTCTTATATCTTTACTATAGACGGTATGAAATTCAGAATAATCCCTTGTATCCTAACCTATTCTATTCTATTATACGCTATGTAGGATGAATTTATCCTATCTATTCTTGTAGAATAAATGTATCCTATTCTATTCTACTCCAGGTATTGGGATGAATGAATCCTATTCTATTCTAATCTATGTATATGATGAATGTATCCTTATTATATTCTACTCCAGGTATATGATGAATATATTCTATTATATTCTACACCAGGTATAGGATGAATGTATCCTATTATATTCTACTCCAGCTATGGATAAATGTATTCTATTCTATTCTACTCCAGGTATATGATGAATGTATCCTATTATGTTCTACTCTAAGCATAGGATGAATGTATCCTACTATATTCTAGTCCAGGTATATGACGAATGTATCCTATTCTATTCTACTCCAGGTATAGGATGGATGTATTCTATTCTACTCCAGGTATATGAGGAATGTTTCCTATTATATTCTACTCCAAGTATAGGATGAATGTATCCTATTATATTCTACTCCAGCTAGGATGAATGTATTCTATTCTATTCTACTCCAGGTATATGATGAATGTATCCTATTTCTAAATTACGAAACTAGGTGTAAAAATATAAACTTAAACTATACCTATGTATTGACAAACATGTAAAATAACATGAATAACAAAAACTCAGCCAGACTGATTTTTAAATATTACACAAACTAAACAAAAAAGTTCATAGTTATTTCTTTTTTGTATTCTTACAACGCAAATAATAGATCTTTAATCATTAATAACACAAAAATAGAACTTTAAGTACAGCACCCCAAGACAATCCTTTCCTATCTTTATATTTTGGTTTATGACGGTTTTTAATGTTTATAAGTATTTAGATAAATCTTTATATGATTCCTATTGTTGGATACACGGCTTATATTGAAACTAATCTAATTATTTACGGTAAATAAACCGAGATGAGAATATGTCTGAGTTTATGAATTCAACCATTATTTCCCCCGGTAGAGAACTAAATATATTTAGGGCTGAAGATTGTCAGACTAATCGTACAGTTGGAAACTATTAATCTTTTTCTCCCTCATATAGTTGGTTTTCAACCAGTTTTTGTCTGGGCTCACAAAACTTCATTCATCAATTAAAAAAAGAAAAATGTTGCTTCTAGCTTAACTCTACCTAACACATAGAACCAAGCAAAGGCATATCTCTAGAACTAGTTTTATTTTAATCAAACAGGTGTTAGGTAATTTCACAAAGGCCTTTTCCCAAGGGCTATTTCCCAAGTGACAATTTCCCAAGTGGCGACTTCCCAAATGTGCAACTTACTAAGTGGCAACTTCCCAAATGTTAGGTTAGGCCTTCTGCAACAAGGGCTGAGCTCTGCGGCTAAGATGGGCTAGGGGACCGAGCGCTGTGGCTGTGACAGACTTGGAAAGTAACCGCTTAAAAACTTGCACATTTGGGAAGTTTATCAACAGAGATTCCTGACCTGCCCGGGAATATCAACCATTGTATACAATCTTTGTTAATGTTTACAACAAGCCATTTTTTTGTCAAATGAATGAGTGTACAGGGTGAATATCTACACTACAGGGTGAATATATCTACTACAGGGTGAATATCCCTACTACAGGGTGAATATATCTACTACAGGGTGAATATATCTACTACAGGGTAAATATATCTACTACAGGGTGAATATCTCCACTACAGGGTGAATATCTCTACTACAGGGTGAATATCTCCACTACAGGGTGAATATCTCCACTACAGGGTGAATATATCTACTACAGGGTGAATATCTCCACTACAGGATGAATATAATGGATCTTGTGACTAAAAATGAATAATAATATCCTGACTTAAAATGATATTTGATTTCCGATAATTAATAAATGAAAAAGGATCTATCAAAAATTATTGTACATATTAAGTGTAGGAGCTTTTCAAACCATGATTTTTTCTTCTTTCTTCTTTCTTCAAAATTGACGGATTGAGATCAATTACAGGGTGTCCCGCGAACCATGACAGTAGCAATACGAATTGAAAGTCATTTTTGAAATTTAAATTAATTTGTGACATTCAGTCGTCAACCTACTTTCACATGTTTATTTCTTGAAACAATAATTCACAAATTCTCCTAAGCCTGGCATTTACTTTTTGTGCTGTTAATATTACCGAAGATATTAAGAGGTTAGTTCAGATTTCAATTTTATTAATAAAACCAAAATTCTTGATATCTCCGGTAATATATAAAGATTTAGGAAATGGCAATACAAATTATCTCTAAAATCTTTACTTATAAAATTAGGTTTACGAATAAATGCCGCAAACCGTTTCAGGGATCAAAGACGGCTTTGACTTTGTCTTGCTACTGTCATGTTTCGTGGGACACCCTGTGTACGATCACCTTTGTGTTGTTAAATAAATTTGAATCTGGATAGATTTCTTAACATTTCTATCAACTTTGATGGTACACATATGATAGATATTTTTATCTGAAGAATTGTAATGGTTGGTTCCTGAGTATCTCCTCTATTGATTCTGGATAAATTTGACCCGGAGCAAAACCGTTGGAGCTCATCACGACATCGTACACATCGTCACAGAGGGGCAGAGAGCCCAGACCGTTCACTTGGGCGTAGATATGATCCCTGTACATATATATTGTAAAGTGTACATAATAAATTGTTTACAGTATAAACCTTACTGTAGTGTATATTTCAAAAAAAGCAAATTACAGTTTGAATTCATCACTACGTCGTACACGTCGTCACAGAAGGGCAGGAATGTACATGTATTCTGTACAGTGTACATAATAAACTGTGAAGTGTGCAAAATAAAAGTGTACATAATATATTGTACAATGTATATAATTTACTGTAAAGTATGTACAGTTTTAATTATGTACTGTAACGTATACAGTATGTACTATACAGTGTATATATTCAATCAATAAATTGATGATATGTAATCCTATAGCCATGCCCCATGGGTTTGGGATATCAAGACTGCCATAATACACTGTAAATTGTGCATAACAAACAAAACTTGATATACTATTCAGTGTACAAAAAAGTCTGTACACTAAACATAAAAACTGTAAAACAAAATACATACTTTATTGTACACCGCACATAAAAGAAAGTATGTAGGTATGTTAAATGATTTGTAAATGAATTAATATTATAAAAAAAATGATTTGAAGATTACTAACTTGAAAATAGTTTTCTTCCTGGCTTGACCCAACATCTGCAGCGAAGCATCTAGACCATCTAGGTTTACATAACCATGCTTTATCACTTCCCCTCCTAGTAGACCTGTTCCACACGCCAGATCCAGGATAGTCACACTCCTTAACACATTTCATACACTTAGTCCAGGATATTCACACTCCTAAACACATTCCACACGCTTAATCCATGATATTCACACTTAAACGCATTCCATAAGCTTAATCCAAGATATTCACACTCCTAAACACATTCCACACGCTAAATAGAGTATATTGACACTTAACACATTCCACACGCTAACTACAGTATATTGACACTTCTGAACACATTCCACACGCTAACTACAGTATATTGACACTGTTTAATACATTTCCAATTCTAACTACAGTATATTGACACTCCGAAACACTTTCCACATGCTAACTGAAGTATAGTGACACTCCATAATACATTCCACACGCTAACTACAGTATATTCACACTCCTTAACACATTCCACGTGCTAAATACAGTATATTGACACTACTTAACACTTTCCACACATCAACTACAGTATATTTACACACCTGAACACATTCCACACGCTAAATCTAGGATATTCACACTTCTAAACGCATTCCACACGCTAACTACAGTATATTGACACTCCAACACATTCCACACGCTAACTACAGTATATTGACACTCCAACACATTCCACACGCTAACTACAGTATATTGACACTCCTTAACACATTCCACACACTGAGTCCAGTATATTTACACATAGAAAACATACTTCACACGCAAGATACAGTATATATACACTCCTAAACACTTAGTAGACACATTTCACACGCTATATCTAGTATATTTACACTCCTACCTAGTAGACACATTCTACACGCTAGATCCTATATATTCACACTCCTAAACACATAGTATACACATTCCAAACGCTACATCTAGTATATTTACACCCCTACCCAGTAGACACATTCTACACGTTACATCCTATATATTCACACTCCTAAACACATAGTAGACAAATTCCACACGCTAGATCCAATATATTCACACTCCTAACCACATAGTAGACACATTCCACACGCTAGATCCAATGTATTCACACTCCTAAACACATAGCAGTCACATTTCACACGCTAGATCTAGTATTTTTACACTCCTACATAGTAGTCACATTCCACACGCTAGATCCAATATATACATAATATACACATTCCTCACGCCACATACATCCACGTCCTTTTAAATAAGGTCTCTAACAGCATTCAAAATCATTGCTTTTACGCGCAAATTTTTCGGGTTTCCTTGTTTTACTTCACAAATTCTGGTTCGCAAGCAAATACACACATAATTTTATTAAGCTTAATCATGAAACGTCAAATAATGCTAAATTGTAAAAAATTGTAAAAATTATTAAGATTTAATTGTTTTTCTATTTTAAAAACGAACCTGTTCAACTGAAGAGAGAGGAACGCTTCCACGCATTTAGTGTGTCCACTGTAGTTTCCAACCAGGACCAGATCCTCCTCATACTTATCTGACCATTCATCATAGAACCTTATCCTAGATATACAATACTTATCCATTCATCATAGAACCTTATCCTGGATATACAATACTTATCCATTCAACATAGAACCTTATCCTTTAAATACAATACTTAACCATTCATCATAGAACCTTATCCTAGATATAAAATACATATTCTTTCATCATAGAACCTTATCCTAGATATACAATACATATCCATTCATCATAGAACCTAGATATTTTCACTAAATTAATCCAACCGATTATAATCTATCTTTGAAGAAAATATCTAGGCAGTTGCCAAATGAAGTTGCGTGCACTTGCAGCGTTGAATAATAAGAAGAGAGATTTGTATATATTTTAGGAAACTGACTGGGCCGAGCGCTGCAGCTAGGACAGACTAGGGGGCTAAGCACCGCGGCTAGAAAAGGCAAGGGGCTGAGCGCGCGGCTAAAACAGGCTCTTGCTCTATCTTGTAATTTATTCCTTGGACTTCTGCCAAATTTTCAGTGCCTTTCCGAATAAAGAGTGGTATATCCTATATATTCACAATAATAATCTTGAAAGCCTGGTCTTGTAAAGAATGTATGAGCTATCCACATTTCTCTTAATTAATTAATTATTTTCAAAGGTCTGTAAAGTAACTTGCGGATTTCTGTATGCAGAAACAATGGGGAGATATTATAAGAATTGAACACATTTCAAACAAAAAAGCTACTATCTCTCCTACATTTTGATCAGAAGAGTATTGTTGTAAATCCTGCATTGCCTCTTTAAGTACAGGATCCTTTGAAATAACAATACAATTCCTTTAAAACCTCATACAACACCACCTAATATTGTGTAATCAATAAAAATATTCTTTTTCAAAATTAAAAAATTCCCACGTTTTATAGCAGCCCAGACATTAAATCTATTTTATCCAGTATTCAATTACTTATTTTGGTGAATTTTATCAAAATTTTCAGAAAATTACAGAATATTTCAGAATATTTTGGTGGAAAATGCTAAACTATCCCGGATTTAAAGTAACTAAAACAAAATTCAGTTTGATCCATGACAAAGCTATATATTCTTATTTTGCAATTTAGTTTCCAGGTTAACCCTATCTCTGCTGGGGTACTTGAAAACCAGGATATGCTGGGGGAGGTGTCAATTTGACCCCCTCCTCCTCTAAATCCCATGTTTGATGTCCAAATATGACAAATGATGTATCATTGGAAAGTTCTTGTGCTGTACTTTTAGAATCTGCAAAAAAATTTGCAAATTTGCAAAAATTGAATTTTTTATCGCAAAATCCAGTTAAAGTATAAATTTTTGCAAAAATTTTTTTTTCCAAAAAATGAAAATTATACATTTTTGAAAATCCCTTGATCATGTTATTTCAAATATGCAAAAAATTTTGCAAAATTTTAAATAACCTTATTTTTAATCAAGAAAAACTAAGATGTGCAAATTTCCGTTTGACAGGTTGTTTGCAAAAAATTTGCAACTTTTTTTTGCAAAACTTGTGCAATTCGTTTCCTCATGTCAAAATCTTTTCAAAAAGCAAAATTTTATCAAAATCTGACAAGTGGAAGTGGGTCAAAACAAAGATTTAGTTTGTTACAGGAAAAAGCAGTCATTCAGGCAGTGTGTCTGAGGACTCAGGCAGTTAGTATTAAAGCCCGGTTTTAGGCCTAAAGGGAGGGTTTTGGGTATGTAGGAAAAGTCAGAAAATTTTAACAGCCTCAGACCAATACTTTTTCGAGTTCTGTAAAAAAAATAGAGGGGGGAGGGGTCAAATTGACCCCCCCCCCAGCAGGAATAGGGTTAAGTAATAAAAAAACCATATGACGTCATTCAAATTTAGTTGCTATTTCAATATGATAACCAAAGTGTACCATTTAAAAATGTTATCTGAGTAATGTTAGAGTAAACATCTGCGCTTTTTATCTGAAAACCGTCCTAGTAATTCTCTTGGTTTTCTCTGAGGGACATTAAGAGAAATTTCAATTGACCCTCGATGCAAAGATGACAATGCCCAATTTACACAGGTGCTCTTAAAAGCCTCGTCTGGTCAAGTGTTAATTGGATATCAATGTTTATAATTTTGAAAAATGATAATTTTAAATTGGGATTTAATTAAACTAGGCCTGGATAGTGAATAGTTAGACTTCTGTTAGATGGTGAGTCGGCTGTTTTATTGGTTGAAGCATTTAGCTTGTCAGATATCCTGACCTTTCACTGCTTCTTTATTATCTTTTGCATATTTTAAATCTATCATCTATTTATTCATAAGCTTTAAACTCTAGATTACCTATTCTCTGGTTCAGTAGTATCCTTCAGTATGTGCGCTATCTGCGCCTGTAATTTAACATCCGATATTTGGCTGTTAGCCCAGTGCTCAAAATTTAGGAATTTATGACACCCCTTAGGAAATGAGATAAAAGGGTTTCTGTTGCAATCAATATTTTTGGTAAACACTTCTTTTCTTTATCTAAATGGACATCATTTAAATACTAAAATTAAAAATACACATGTCTATTCACCCCACACGGTACTTAAAAAAAAAATTTGAAACTGCAAGTACAAAGTACAATTTATACAGTTAGACGTAGTTTTGAAGGTGTTAGGATGCATTTTCCCAAGGGTGACTTCCCAAGTATCAATTACCCAAGTGACAACTTCCCAAAAAGTGCAATTTCCCAAGCGGCAACTTCCCAAAGTTTAGGCTAAGACCTCTGAGGCACAGCAGGATGCAATGGGGGCCGAGTGTTGTGGCTAGGGCAGACTTCAAAAGTTGCCGCTTGGGAAGTTGCCACTAGGGAAAATACCCTTGGGAAGTTGCTGCTTGGGAAAATGCCTTTGGGAAAGTACGGAACATTGTTTTGACATAGGACCAGATACATTAACAGGATTCTATCAAGGGGGGGGGAATGAACATATATTAAAACATGGAGGTTTCGGGTGCAAAAGGGTAAAAAGCTTGTAGCTTTTAGTGAGCAAGTCTGAAGAACAAAAGTAGTGAATATATTAAACAAATTAAATATTTACATTAATTTATAATACTGTGTTTATGATTTATTACTTCTTATAAAAAATTAGACCAACATCAACGTTTGATATAAATCCTTTTTTAGCATGCAAAATAGGTTTGAATTGCAAAAAAAATCCCCTCCTAAAAAAATTACACAAGGCTATTGGAAAAGGAAAACTCTAAAAATGATTTCCCACAAAGGGGATATTATAAACCCATGTTACTTGCATTAGTCTAGACATTGTATGGTTCAAAAGATCTCTATTAAGACATAAATCATATCATTTTTTATATTGAGTAAATAGAACTTGTAAGACTTCCAAATATTTGTATTCACCAGACGGTTAATAATGCTAGGGAGAAAAGATGCCAGAACACACTTCCAGAAATATAAATATTCTGGCCACAAAATATATATATATCAATTTATTGTACAGTTCTTATACATGTTTGTAACTTTTATACTCAAAACAGATTTTAAATATTAAGTCAGCAGGGCCGAAAGAGTTGGATTGTGTGCCCTAATTTGTTGGTCATCACCTGTGAATTTGTCGTTGTTACATCCATGAAAATAAAAAAAATTTAAAATGCCACACTTTCCCCCCCCCTTAAACTTGCCATTGGTGCAGTGTGGTGGTAAATTACATAAAATTGTTTAATTTTTCCTATAATTGTTTTTGAACAAATATCTAACTTCATATCAGACTTTTCCTTAAGTTCTGAGGAGACACCAGTATCTGCAAAGTATGGAAGAATACCAGGTAATCTCTTGATCAGATAGAATTCTCCTCCATGCTGGAAAAACAATTGCTAAAACTTGCCTACAGGTAGTGGGTAAAATCTAAAAGCTGGCATGCAAATCTGTAATGTTGAAAGAGAAGAAAAAACAACTATTCCCTAACTATGTTAACAGTACAGTCAGTTGACTCCTTATCACAGATGAGAAGATGTTAGGTACTTTCCCAAAGGTATTTTCCCAAGCAGGAACTTCCCAAGAGTATTTTTATTTTCCCAAGTGGCAACTTCACAAATGTGCAATTTACCTATCGTTAACTTCCCAAGTCTGTTCTGGCCCCCTATTGCAGCCTGCAGGTCTTAAAAGGCCTACCCTAACCTTTGGAAGTTGCCGCTGGGAAATTTCAAATTAGAAAAGTTGCCACTAAGTAAGTTGCCCTAAGGAAAATGCATTTGGAAAAATACGTAACACTGATGAGAATTAGATTAGAAGACCAATAACATATTAATATTGCCAAAGGTTAGAACTTAAGTATTGCTGATCCATTTAGAAAGCTGTTATCTTCAGTACCAGGGGCAGATACAGGGGGGGGGGTGGCAGGACCTTCACACCACACTGACGGATTCCGGGGAAGGTGTAGCCCCCCCCCCCCCTGAAATTTCAAAATAGCTTCTCAATAGCACTTAAGGGAAAGAAAACCTAGTGCAAAACAGGAAAAATATCTATCTTAAAAAAAATTTTTCACCTGCAGCACATATTTTGTTCCTAAATATGGATTATTTTTTGTTCCTAAATAGATCTAGTACCACCCTCACTCAAATCCTGTATCCGCCCCTGTTCAGTACTCTTAACAAGTTATACCCTTTCCAAATAGATCACTAAAATATTCGCTAATGATCAAAAGCCAATGGAGACCAATGGAGATCTAAAAATGCAAGTTAAAATTTTTTAACGGATTCAGCAATTAATCTTATAATGTTAAAAAATATAGCGGAGGACATTGAAGTAAGTGCTTTCTCATACTAAAGTTCAAAACTTGGACTTTATTCTATACCCAGTAGAAGTCAATCAAAGTAGCTAATTCTAATAAATATCTATTATCAAAACTTATTAACATTTAAATTCCATTTTACAAGACAAATAAAAACAAAATCAACTTAGAATACTCTTAAGGTTGTTCTGTTCTCCAACTTCCAAACCTGTAATGACTACCGTGAATTAGATCTGCAGAATTTTTACTTTTCTTTTAAAGATGTTTTATCAACTAATATCATATTACATCCTATCATGCCAGATTTCAAGTTTTAGTCCCATATTATTGATATATGTGCTATTGTTTCCAGCTTGAACAATTATTGGTTGCTTACAATATTTAAGATTATTGGCACATACATATCTCCATAATTTTTAGTGAAAAAATCTAAAAAAGTTCAACTTGGAAAAAGCAGTAAAGAGATAAACCAGAAGAGCAAAGTAAACTAAATAAAAATTAATATTTAACAGTAACAGCTGATACATTCTAAGCATAACTAAAAAAGAAAGATTTACAAGGGTATATATTTTCTTAAAAAATCATTATTCCTAGATAAATCACCTAACTCTTCAAAATATATACCCTTGAAAGAATAGCAAAAAAATATTGGAAAGAAGAGTTTAAAAGAAGGTTAGTGTAAAGCTCACCAAACTTTTATTGTTTGCATCCTTTTCTCCTTCCTGCAATACTACCGGTTAGTTAAATTATGGGATTCAGATTTTTCAAATCATTAAATGTAACAAATATGCAAATTGAAGACGCAATTTTAGTTGCATAAGAAAAAAGACTCAACAAAATGTTGTAAATTTTCACACAGGTGAATATTCCCTACAAGTTTTTTATACTTTTCTTTAAAAAGTTAAACACCTAAATTTATAAGTTTGAATTTTGAAATTTTAAAGGATTAACTCATTAAATAAAAAGCTTTGGTTTAGAATATCTTGTCCAGTTAGTGCAGGGCATAACCTCAACTTAGGATTGCACAGAACTTTAGATTAAAGCAGTGCATAGAGATGAAAGAAAATTAATAATTCTTTTAATATGCAGCTTATAATTATTCTTTTTGAAGAACCTTGTGAGATATATCTTAAGATGGAAAATAACTTATGCAGGAGGAGGGATGGGCTTGAGATTACTTTTTTTAATTCGTTCATTTATGGTTTGTAACAATAACGTAACAGAGAGGGCCCTAATGTAATTTTAATTTTTATCAAATAATCTAACATTCCATTTAGTTAACAAGTTAAAATTCAATGTATTCTTCCAGTTCAAAATTTAACTGTCACTTTAATTTTCAAAACTTCCATTTGTTACAAACCTTTGCCCAGAACTATGCAAGAGAGGAAAACTTGTCCTATATATATCTTAACCTGGACTGAATGCCATAAATCTTACAACCAATTCTTAGAATTGAGTTAGACTTGATTTAATTTTGCAACTCTCAGAAAATAAAGTAGAACCATTGGAAATAGAGAATATAAAAGATAAAAGAAGACATTAAGTAGAAAAAGGGCACTACTGAGAAAATCTATGAACGGTAAATTGTTCAAACATGTCCAACAGGTCCTGTTAGGACAATAAATCTCAAACAAGGGAGAATACAGAAAGATTTTTTAGGGAGCTAGGGTAGAAAGGCTAAACTAGTTGCACCTTTATTTGTGAGAATATTCCATCAGGCGTCATTTTTATGTATCAAATGTGATAGGAACTACATTTGCATTTTGGACACTATTATAGAACAAAACGATTTCAAATTTTTTGGTGATTAAAAAGGTGGAATGACTTTGCTAAGAGTGTGTGTGTGTGTGTGTGTGGGGGGATCATAATCACCATGATTTCTGGTGCCTCTTCCTGCTCTATTGCTTCTTGTTCCTGTTCTGCTTCGACTGGTTCAACATTCTCCTGGAAAAAGCTAAGTCTTGAGTTTTAATGCTAGATTCAGTTTTTAAAAACCAGGGGTGTCTTTTAACTCGAAAAATCATTCCCCCCCCCACCATTTGAAAATATTTTTTCTTCCCAGAGAAGTTATTTTATGCTGAATTAGAGATAATAAATGGTTTTTACAGGGAATAAATTAACTTTAACGTTAATAATATCAAAAAGAATGAAAAAACATTTTATTTTATATTTTTACCTAAAATCATCAAAAATTGTTAAAAATTTACACCCCTGAAAAATAATTAGTATTTGTTTGAACCTGTGTAGCTTGAATATAAGCTTCTCTCATATCCATCCTAGCAAGCTGAATACGAGGGCGAGAGATAGCGTGTCCTGCGACCATAGGAGATACCTAGACAATAGATTTATTTAAACGATGAACTTTTTACTATTAAAAGATCATGTTTGTAGCCAAAAAGTTATTACTAAAGGTTTGTATCGCTGAATTTTATTAAAAAATAAACGAGTTTTTGAGACAGAAAAAGTTTTGATAAAAGTATTAATTATCAAGGAAAAAGGACTTGGAGTTTAAGTCTATTTATTTTAATTGATTTTCTTCCCGTGAAAAAAGCTGTCTCCTATTTTTGTCATCTTTCAGCAAACTTTAAGAGACACCAAGAAGATCTGAAAGAACTAGAATAATCCGTAGGACCACAGAAGAAAGGATTAGTTCTGTCTGATGTTCATACCATTAGTTTGGAAATCAGTTTAAGGTAAAGGACTTGAGTCTTTGCCACACACTCTGATTTCCCAAACCCTTTACCTTTCCAATCCAATGTCGTATTCAAACTTACAATTATGTTTGATCAAAAAATCTAATTATGAAACACATATGTAAATAAAATGTCAACCATCATTCTGAGGAAATCAAGGCCCCCCCCCTTCTAAAATAAAGGCGGAAATTGAGGTGCGAGTTGATTAATGACCCAAGTCTGATGTGATTGTTAATCAACATGTCAAGGGCTCGGTCAATGGCAATCAGAGCGCAAAAACATAGAAATTAGAAATCTCGAGTTTGTATCAGAGACTCAATTTCTTTGTGTCCAAAACCTTGATATTTTTATTTGATAAGGTGCAAGTTATCTATCGGATTAAACTGCTGGTTATAATACCTTATATCAGGATAGAAATGATAAAACTAGAATTTTTCCGTATTATCTGTACCCATTGATAAAACTTCATAAATTAATAAATTGTAAAAAATAATACCTTATTCTGTGGAAGATTTTTAGGCGGTGAATTGTGCGGAACAAGATACGAAGCATCCCGGAATCGTATATTTGACAAACCATTAGCTTTGCCTGAAAACAGAACATTTTTAATAATGACTAAAAAACTGGACTTAGTGAGCTTTTGAATTTCTGACAACAGTTTTCGTCGGATATATCAATCTATATATAAATTTGGCTTGTCTGTTTGTTTGTTTGTTTGTTTGTTTGTATCCAATAAACGTCAAAACGGCTGAACCGATCGGGCCCAAATTTTTTGTGGGACATCTAGGGAGCCCAGGGAAGGTTTATGAATCATCAAAATTTCAAATATTTGTCTCTATCAAAATTTGATCGTCATTAAATTTTTTAAAATTTTGAAAATCCGCGAAATTTTTTGTAAAAATCCGCGAATTATTTTTGTTTAGTTTTACGATGTACACAAAGAGAACATGTTTACAATTAATTTAGAAGATGGGCGCGAAGCGCCCTCTAAGGCTAGAAAGAAGGGCGCGAAGCGCCTTGAATTTCTAGTACAATAAAAACGACTTTCGATTTCAATTTTGAATTACTGCCAAGCTTTCAACCGGCATAGATATTGCATATATATATAAAGATGGAAACTGAGAGTAGCTGTCAATTTTTTTACTTATTTATTTGTAACTAGAAATTCAAAGCGCTTCGCGCCCATCTTCTATTTAAATTGTGTTAACATGTTCTTTTTGTTAACATTTTGAAACAAAGAAGAAAAATATTTTGCGGATTTTTAAAAAAAATTCGCGGATTTTCAAGAATTTAATTTTTTTTACAAAATTAAAAACCTTTAAACGAAATTTTTTTTTTATCATTCATAAACCTTCCCTGTGGTCACGTGATGTCCCACAAAAAAATTGGGCCAGATCGGTTCAGCCGTTTTGACGTTTATTGGATACAAACAAACAAACAAACAGACGGAAAAGCCAAATTTATATATAGATTTAAAAAAAAACTAGTTATAAATTCAAACTCAGATCGAGAAGTCATTGTATTCATATAAACGCCGACCACTGTACAACTAAGGGGTTAAAACTATGTTTTTATTCTATATTGAACGAACCAAAAAATTATATTTATCCCTTAGAAAAGGGTTAAAATTATGTTTTTATTCTTTATTGAACGAACCAAAAATTACATTTATCCCTTAGAAATCTACGGGAAGATTTCTAGCCTTTTAATCAAATTTACATTCCATACAAGAAAAACATAATTTTGAAGAATTTTTTTGCGGGAATCAGTAGCGACAAAGCTAGGTTTGTTAATCTTGAGATAAAAAACTGATATTCCCAATAAGGTTTCCTTTTAAAAGTTCATCTACTGCTAACAACCGTATAATGTTTATTTTTAGTTAAAAAACGAGTTTTTGCAATATGTGAAAGTTTACGTAACTCTGTTGCCTGTAGTGTGTAACGTAAGTAAGCGTTTTTAACATCTGGAGTTATTTGACTGCGTAGAGAAAACATTTTAGTTTTAAATTTTTAGAAAATTTGCTCAATTTGCAAATATTTTTACTTTAAAATCAGATACGTACCATTTGCCCATTTAATCCTTTTATACTTTTTAATTCCCCTATTAATGATTGGATTTCATTTCAGTCTGATTTAACAGGTATCAAAGATGATTAATTCAAGTAGGAATAGACATTAGAAAGGGTTACAACGGATGAGACTTCAGAGACGACTGTGGTGAATTTATACTATCTGCTTCATTATACTCAATACTCATGATTCCTTTTTAACTGTGAACTTATTTCGTTCTTCAACAAATCATTAAGTAAGCCATATTAAATTACTATATTTAAGGCAGAAGACTGAATTTTAACTTGGGATCATCATATTTTTAAAGTTTCTGGTCGTCTTTACAGTTTCCTGTAATGGAGGTCCTGATATCCTGGATACTAGATAATGGAGCAGATATTCCAGAATATACTTTACCAGTATCCTGTAATGCAGATCCTGATATCCAAGATGTAAAGGATAATGGGGCAGATATTCAAGAAGGTATTTCAACTATATCCTATATTGGAGGTCCTGATATCCTAGATGTACTAGAAAATGGAGCAGATGTTCTGGAATATTTCTTACCTGTATCCTGTAATGGAGGTCATGATCATCCTGGAGGTAAAGGATAATGAAACAGATATTACCTGTCTCCTGTAATGGAGGTCCTGATATCCTAGATGTAAAAGATAATGGAGCAGATATCCTGGAAGATGAAGAGGATGCCCTGGATGCCTGGGATGCACGTAAACTGCTGTTTGTTATACTAAACAACAAGGAATTAAATAAACAAAAGAACGAACATACACGGGCATTTGTAATTCGGTCATTTGTATTTTATCCTTATTCAGTCCCCATCTTACCACCCCTCATCTTTGTTTAGAGGAATACAATTTTGCTTGGGGGGGGGGGGGCTCTCTTATTAATTTTGTACATCGTTACTAATTTCAGATATATCATATACCATTCAAAATGCAAAGTATTGTACTCAAAAAGATTGAATTTTTCTCAACAAATTATGAAAAGAAAAGTTTATGAAAATTATGCAAATAAATTTACTAAAAAGAATGATTACCTAATTGATTTAGATACATTATCCTGGAGACTGAAAAGGTTGTCTGGTTAATGCATTATTAAGTTTTAATTAAAATCATTAAAATCTTAAAATTTTAATTTTTATGGTATTAATGAAAAAACGAAATTCTATTACTTCATCTTTTTTCCAATAACATATTACTGATAGAAATCCATCACGTTCAAAAAAATTTGCTGTCATTATTTACTAATTATTATGTCTGAGTTAGGAATTTTGTTGTGGATAATCATTATCCCGATCGATTAATATCGATATCCATTATGGGCACTTTTAATTTAAAGATAAATTCTCTTCATTTTAGGTTTTCCTCCCCTTGATCTTAATTTCAACAACGGCGCAGTAAATAATTATTTTAGACGACTAGTCAATTAAGAGTTTGAAAAATGAAAATATATATTTGCTCAGATTATTTATTACCCTCTCATGACGCACATCTGTCTAATAGTTGTCAAACTAAGCATTACATCTTTAACTTAAAAACAAATATAAATAAATAGATAAAAGATGAAGATTAATGAGGGCTGCTATAGTTGGCATAAAGTTGGAAACAATTTAAACTAGGATTTGGATCTTTAAAACGACTAGTTCATGCTGTTGTTTGTTTTATAGGAAGTTGTTATGTATATTGAAATTTAAGTTACAGTTTCACGAATTTGAATTTTGCATTTAAGGGCATGTCGGCAAAGTTTTACTCTGATTGGAAGCATCGTACGACATCGACTATCAAACTTAAAAATTGTCTTTAGTCTTTTAAAAAAATTTTAAGTTATAACCCTAATCCCTGTTTTATTCCGAGCAACCCAGAACATGTTCTTATGTTTCATAACTGAACTATCGCAATTTAAAAAAGAGATGTAATTGACAAAATATTTTATGATTAATTTTTGCATAATGATTTCAAATATAACACAATCACAAAAAATGTTTTCCCTAAACAGAGTCATTTCTCCAGAAAAGAACTTCAAACTCGAATCCTTGACAAAATTCATGATATTTCGGTTTCTTATCAAATAAGTGAATTATCCCTTGAAAGGAGTTGTTTATCAATTATTGTGACACTCCACTTGAACTAAAGACTTTAATTCAACTTTCTCAAGGTTTTCAAAAGGGTAAAAACCAGGAGGGCGGGCTGATCGTTATATACCTACCAGGAACCATAAAGAGGGTTTACTCGACTACTAGGAGTTTATGTCCTGATCTGCAGTACACACAACAAATATGCAGTGAGGGGGGGGAGTTCAGAAGTCTTCAATTTGTATTCACAGCCACCCAAACGTCTTTTGCGGCATGCACGCTCCTCAATTTGTAATCTCCACCACCTCAATTTGTAATCTCCACCACCTCAATTTGTAATCACCATAAAATCTTGTTTTCTGAAATTTTATTTAATGCACTATTAACACAGTATTCGACATCTATCGGGGTTTCAGGGCATGTGTATTGGCTTAAATTATATTTTCAATTGGCTTTCAGATTGACTTGGTCAACAAAAACTGAGAAACAGGGCATAGTTTAATTGAGCCGAATCTTAGACCCAGTCTGCCAATTTAAAGGAAAGGTTTGGGCTGTCCGTTTACTAAAAATTACCTCACCCCACCCTAAGTAATATCTATCTCCATTAAAAAGATATTTTCAAAAAACCAAGTGTTTAGATTTTTGCATTTGCCTAAGTGAAGGACTAAATGCAATTAACTGGAAAGAGGATCTGTACAATCTATCTACTGAAGAAGCCTGGAAATTCTTTTGTATTATATTGAATGATTTGACTGAAAAATATGTACCTAGAGTTAAGATGAAATCAAACTCTCATCCTTCATGGATGAGTAGAGATCTTTTAAAAAGTATCAGAAAAAAAAGGAGAGTTTGGAAAGAATACAGAGTCTCTGGGGAGCTGAGGAAATATGAAGAATACAAGGATCTAGAAAAGCATGTGAAGAGTGAGGTCAAAAGACTGAAAAAACAATATGAGAAAAAACTTTCTAAAATGAAAACCAACAACAAAAAGTGTTTTAATGGATACTTGAAGAATAAACTGAAGAATAGAACTGGTATTGGACCTTTAAGTAAACCGGATGGTGAGGTAACTAACCTGAAGGAGGAAATGGTAGAGATTCTGAATCAGTACTTTGGAAGTGTATTTACACATGAAGACACATCCAGTTTACCAGATTGTGCGAGGACAGAATCCANAGATGACAGAACCAGGCTGACTAAACAGAGAAGCAACACCACCATCAGAAGTAACTTCTTTACCCAAAGAGTCATTGATGATTGGAACCAGTTACCCAGCACAATTAGAGAGTCTCAAAATATCAAGATATTTAAAAGAAATCTAGACCAATATTTATCTTCTTCTGAGATGAACTGATGAACTGAGAATATGACAGGATCTCCAGAAGAAGACTGTGTGGAAAAGATGTTGCTAAATGCCCCTAGCGGGGGCTACATCAACTACTCTCCAAGTATACAAGTAAGTATACTCAGGTTCAACGTCTACAACAGAACTAACTGCATGCAAAGAAAAAACAGAAAATTTAAAAAATCAGTCTAATCCCGCCCACTAGTGAAATTAAAGTACTCATTATGGGTTAAATGAATTAAAGATACCTAACTGTTATGCTTTAAAAAGGGAAAATGGCAATTCTCTGAAAGCAGGGGGAGTCAGGTGCATTGCTCCCCAGTATACTTGCATATGACTCATAGATTTTAAACTAACATAATTTAAGTTATTTTTTTTGTGAAATATAAGGACTTTAACAATAACATTATGAGGAAAATGCCACTAACATTTTTAAAGCGAAACTTGAGATTTAAAAACGTTATTTTATTTTTAGCACTTTATGTGGCATATTTTTAGATTTATTTTTGAAACTGAAGAGCAATAAAGAAGGCTTTAACAATATTGTACAGTTGTACACCATAGGGCCATTAAAAGCGTCAATTTGGTTTTATCTCTAAAAAATAAACGATTTAAAGTTAACATTTTTAGTTCTGATTACATATTGAGGTGGTGGAGATTACAAATTGAGGAGCGCGCATGCCGCATAACACGTTTGGGTGACTGTGATTACAAATTGAGGACTTTACATTCCCCCCCCCCTCATGCAGTTCGCTTACATANCACTATACTATACAGTTTTAAAACAAATATACCCCCACTATACTATACAGTTTTAAAACAAATATACCCCCACTATACTGTACAGTTTTAAAACAAATATACCCCCACTATACTATTCAGTTTTAAAACAAATATACCCCATTGTATTTGAATGTTAAGTTATATTTGCATACGGATTCACTTTACCACAGTTCCTTCATCATTTTGAAGAATAAAGAAAGATTATTTTCCCGAATACAGTTATATACAGATTGACCTTTGGACGTGGAGTACAGTGTAAACGACATGTACAATAGGATTAGCGTTTATTATCACTCTATACTGTAAACTTCCAAAACTAACAAAAGAAACGTACATTATCCTATTTTACAGAAATGTAATAGTTTTGATTTATTTTTTAGTTTTTAACAGGTGTCTACTGTCAAACACTAAATGGGCTCAAATCAAACTTTTAAAAAAGAAAAAAAACACAAATAATGAAAAGTTTTTGTAAACCTTTTTCCGTGTCGCTGCTCCATAAATCCGCAAGTATTTAAAAAAAAACGCGATGGAAATTTACAAAAATTCATAATCTTTACTTGGAAACAAATTTTAAGAGTACCATAGCAGATCTAACATGTAATTCTGTAAGTGGTCGCTTCAAATTACGTTGACAATCCCTTTAGTACACAAATTAAATAAGAAATTTCAAAAGAATAAGATGTTCAAGCAGGTTCTTTTTTAATAGTAAATTAGGTTTTAACTTAATAAAAAATCAAATAGCTTTCTCAATTATCCACAGAATTTACAATAACGAAAAAGTTATTTGGTTATTTGGATTTTAAAACAAATATACCCCCACTATACTATACAGTTTTAAAACAAATATACCCCCACTATACTGTACAGTTTTAAAACAAATATACTCCCACTATACTATACAGTTTTAAAACAAATATACTCCCACTATACTTTACACATATACTCCAGTATACTATACAAATATACCCCCACTATACTATCAAATCAAATCAAATCATGCTTTTAGAACGTCCTACAACCACACACCAAAATATCCCCACTATACTATACAGTCTTAAAACAAATATACCCCCACTATACTATCAAATCATGCTTTTAGAACGTCCTACAACCACACACCAAAATATACTCCCACTATACTATACAGTTTTGTGGAAATAAAATCAGTTCATGCTAAATAAAGACTTTACAAAACGATTTATATTTTCAAATAATATTCTATTTATTTTGAAAGAAAAAAAAGAGTATGAGTAAGTTATGCACTTAAGTAAAAAAACTACTTTTGTTAGAACGCAATTTGGTGGCTCGTCAAAAAAAAAAAGAAATGAAGATGACGCATGTAGCTTGACAGTTGGCAGGATAATTGGGTAATTAGAATCCAATAATTGTCTTCCATCAAGTGGAACTTTCTAGGTTTCTTGTATTTATAGTCTGTAGATCCTACAACAGTTATCAGTTCAAGAATAGCTATGAAGATTATCATTCTGTTTTGTATTTCCTGCGCTGTCTTCTCTACTTTAGGTATACTATTGCTCTACTTGCTTCTGATGTAATATTTTCTACTTGTAATTTTTTATTACAATAAATGCACTTTTCTTGATGAATTGAACTGTTACTTTTAAATATAACAAACTTTTTGAAAAAGCCGAAATCAAACATAAGATAATTTCAATTTCATTTAAATAAAATATGATATTCAAGAATTGATCAAATTTACAGCTAATTTAGCATTATAGTAAGATAATAACTCTATAGCACAATTAAATGGAATTGGACATGATCTGAGCATAGATAATAAATGCACAAAAGTTTCATAACTTACTTTTAAACTTGGCATATTATTCTTTGCCAAGTTATACGCGAATGGCCTGTACTAGACTATTAATTGTTACTCAAAATTCAATATTAATTCATTAAATAAAATCAATATACAGTATTTTATAATACTTTTGTATACTTAAAACTCGTGGTTACTTCATGGTAAATTTGACGTACTAGAAATCATCGTGCTATAAATATTAAATATAACGTTCAATTTAGCTTATCTTATAGCACGGTGCAAGTTTCTTTGGTTAGCAAAATTTCTCCAATCATAACATTTCTAGAAAGAAATATTCGAAATAAAAATTAAAATTGAAATTAACTTACGACTTAAAACTAAATATTTAAATCTGATCTTAGGGGAAACCAAGAAAATCAATGAAGATCAATCGCTTGCCGTTGAACTGGCTTACGACTTGGACAGGGTTCCGAGGGCTTCACAATTAAGACAATCTAAACTTAAAGAGAAGGAAGAAATACAAAATTCTAAAAATGATAAAGATCCAGATAATAATAAGAAAAAAAGAAGTAAAAAGAATCAAAAGAAAAAAGAAAAAATAACGGTTAAGAAAAGTAATAGAAAATCTATGAAGGAAAGTAAAAGGAAATCTATGAAGGAAAGCAAAAAGAAATCTACAAAGCAGAAGAAGAATGGAGGAGACAAAAAGGGGAGTAAAAAAGGCAACAAAGGGAAACGACAAAAAAAGAACAAAAACACTAAAAAGATTAAGGGGAAAAAAACTAGAAAAACTGGAACTTATAAAAATGCTGGCATCTCGAAACAGGATACTTGTTACGATGACTTGTTGGCAAAAACCAAAAAGTTTGTTCTCTACTTTTACCAATCCCAAAAACTGAACAGAATCACAAGCTGGGTTAAGTTGGCACAGAACAAGAAAGCCAAGGCTCTTTCAACATTTTCCCCTGCTCGTGATGCCCTGGGAACCTCGACCAACCAAGGGACATCTTGTGCTGGAAACTCTAGCGCCTTAGGTGCAGCCAACACTACTTACAACACCCTGGTCTCCTGTAACACCACAGCATCTACAATATGTGATGTTTCCCTAAACGCTACTTCTGACACTCTTGTAACTAGTTGCACAACTGCCCTGGCTACCTACATCGCTGATTTTAGGGTAAGCATTTTCAAAACTCACTGCAAATCAGGATTCACGAAAATTGAAACTTACCTAAACCCTACTATAAAAAATTCTCAATATATTAATGTTACTTAGTGGAGAAAAATACGAAAATATCGATTACATTTTTATCTCAAAGAAAAACTAAAAATAAATTTGGTCTACAAAATATTCCCAAAAAAATACAAATACTAAAATATTTCCAGGCCTGTCTGAAGACTGGGGCATGTTCATGTTTCCAAGGTTTAGAGGAGGCAGGTGCAGAATGTGAGAACTTCTTAACCCTTGAGAATCAAATCAAAGCGGAGAAAAATGATTGCATAAATCCAGATAAGACGGGTTCTTTTGGAAACTGTCGCCAAGAAGAAAGATTAGCTACCACTTTCACGGTAGTATGTTGCGCTTCCCATGCTGTTACAACACAGGTATAAGATACTTACTAGTCTAACCCACACATGATTACCAAAGCTTTAAATATGATAAAATGGGACTCGTGTTTATCAAGCTTTGTCACCTCTTTTTAATAACTCTTACGAAAACATTCCTTCTGTTTTTTTCCAACTCTAAGTCAGTTTATATGATTTTTTTTTCAACTTTTGGTTAAAAAAAGAGAGATAAAAATTGGAACTAGTCTTAAGAAATTTTTTTCATTATTCTGAGATTGCAAAGAGATACCAGGTTCCCACTTCTTCTTGGATTTACTTAAAGTGTGTTTTTATATTTTATATTTTTTATTTTACAATAATTTTCTAGGCTCCTGGACGACGTCATATGAGGCTGAACCTAAACAAGTTATTCCACAACTAATATTTTTCCTGGCTAAAAAGGCTTGAAGAATGAAGACCGACAAGTAGACAACGGATCATAGATAAGAAAACACATAACTCTGCATATAAGAGATTGCAATTACAATGTTTAAATTACTATGCTCTTACTTCGTATCATGATAATGAATTTAACTGATGCATCATGTGACTAACGACAAAACTGAAAAATAAATTCCGCAGCATATTTTTATATTTCTAAAAAGTAAGTGGATTATATTAGAGAGAGAGGTGAATTTAAACCCCTAGATTAAAAAAAGTTTTAATAATGAATTCCTAGAGCACTGTTCAGATTATTTTTAAGTTCTCTAAGCTTGCGTCCATTTAACTCTTCAGATTGGTCCATCTGTAGTCTAACAAAATAAACATGTTAATTGACTGATTGAAATAAGATAAATTGAAAAAACTTTTTGTTTTTAAAATTTTGGTTATATTTTGCAACAAGGATCCAAACTCGTGAATCTGCATATCTTTGAGTGAATCCAAAAAAAAACTAATATCAATATATATACTGGCTAATTCCCTTCCACCTTATTAAACTTAATTTTTAATTAATCTATCATTATTTTAAAACTGCTCAGATAATTTTTGACAAAACAGTTTTCCATGTCTGAAACTATATTGCGGCTACTGACCTTAAAGCATTATTTTCCTGGTTTAAAGCCATAATTTCACTCTTTAAACTTAATATTTCTTTCTCTTTCTCAGCGAACCCACCCTGAAAAGACGAAATAATAGAAACAAATTATGAAGAGTATGAAAAATAAATCAATGAAAGATTAACTAAGGAAGTAGAAATACATAAAGCCATTATTAAAATTTTTTAAAAATATGCTTGATGATTGTTCCTAAATAAATGATAAGACAATGGCAAGAGAGACACACAAATAAAATTCAAAGGGACAGACCGGCTATGTAAGGTAGTTAAACTGAGCATGCAGTTCTCTGGACAAATTCTTCAGGATTAATTTGAGACATATAAAACTTTTTAAAGATCTGTAAATCCTGAGTTTAGACGCAAATTCGACGTTCAAAATCGTACTTTTGGGGGTTGAAACGTTTTCAGAATGCTAATAGAGGCACATAAATAAAGTTTAAAACGTTAATAGAAACTAAAAAAGAACATAATAAAAAAATAATTTACATAAAATAAATACTTAACATTTATATAAGCAAGATGAAAATACAAGTAAATATTAAATAAATTATTTAAGATGAAGAAAAAAAAAATTAAAAGTCATAAATTGTATTTGGTATTTTTACCTTATATCTATTGAGAACTTTGGCAAGCTCATCATTATTCTTCTTTAGAGCTGATTTACTAACCCCACTCCACTGATCTACTAAAAGTTCATGAATAAAAAATGGGGCCTAAAATGAAACAATTTGGCCTGAAAAAGCGCAGCTCATAATAAAATAAATGTGTTATTCCAGTTACGCCACTTAAAAGTATTACTATTTGGCCGGCTATATGTTAAAGGGTTATTAAATCAACCTTTAAAGGGACTGTACGTGTGTTACCCTCCAGATAAAAAAGGACATGCTAGATTCACACTGGTAGGCTTAAAAACTTTATTTGATCAATAATGAGAAAGCTAGAAAAGTGTGAATTCGGTGTATTTCTCTTTAATTTTTCAGTAGTAGTCAGTAGTCCCTTTTGTAGAGAACCTCAATTGAAACTTATCAGTTTTCAATATTATAAAAGTTGACACTTATTTCATAGTTTATCATACAAAGCTTTTTAAGGTACAATTGTCATTTTTGCATGAAATTACGCTTGCAGTTTCGAAATGGTACAATCTGAAATCTGAATTTGTTGATTTAGTAGGCTTCACTATTCAGACATACTACGCAAGCAAACCTTAATCTTATGACTTAAAGGAACAAGGCTGAATATAAATAAAGCCATTCATCGCATTCAAGTGGAGTTGTTTGGCTAGACATAGTAGTTGAGCTAAGAATGAAGTATTCCAGCCAAATATTTTTAGAATTTATTTTAGACCTATCAGACCTTTTACGGTGAATATTTTTTTTAACAAGAGCGCAAATTCAGTCTTTAAAATCCTCATAGATTGTTCATTTTGGAGGGATGATTTAAAAAATCGGTTTTTACAAAGATTATTCAATTTTTCCTTAAAACATTGAAGTCTGATCCTTAAAAAATCGGTGAATACTTACAGCTTTTATTCCTTGTTTTAGGTAAAGATTTGTTTGAACTGTTTGGACAAAAAGTAGCTCTCTTCTTCTTCTTCTCTTTTGCATGGACAACCTGAAATAAGGACGCTTCGCACCCTTCGTTCTAACTTTCAAATTTTACATTTTCACCTTCTTCTAGCAATATTAGACATGGACTCAGAAGTTTTTCGTTGTTTAATTCAATAATGTAGCCGAAAATCCATTGAAATTAATATTACTAACCTTTTTTGAGAAAGAAGGTATTGACGCAACTCTTTCTTTAGCCATTTTTATCTAATAAGGAAAATTTGGAGGTTTTGAAAATGGTTATTTTAAAAGATTTTTAAAAGATAAATACGAACTTCAGAACATTATTTAATTTACAGAAGATAATAGGATAAACTTTGACAAGTGAAAGCAAGTTGAGTAACTTCACTTGAAACAAGCCGAGAAATTTGTTTCAACATATTTTTTTTTGATTTTCCGGCATTAAATAACTAGAGAAGCAGGAAAGGGTAGCTAGGAACTAAATGCACAATCTACGAATCAAAGAAGAAATATTACTATTAAATTACAATTATTTTTTTTTTGAGAAATTTTGTCAATTAGCAATTGTGACATATGCGAGAATTTTGAGTCAAAAAAAAGTACGAACTGTTAAGTCAAAAAAACGTACGTACTGTTAAGTCAAAAAAAATACTTACTGTTAAGTCACAAAAAATAGAATACGAACACGGGGACTACAGAGAACAAAATGAACATTCACAAATCAATTTTTAAATCACTAATATAGATTGATTACTTTGGTAAATGTATCATGGAGATTAAAAGATTTTCTTTCCGCCCAATTAGTTTAGGTCATCGGGCATCGGTAAATATGACTAGAACATTAAAATGAAAAATTTTACGAAGTAAAGTTAATAAAGACATAAAAATCACAAAAACAATTTAGCTATCAAATATTGAGATGATTTTCTGACTGTGTCCTGTTAGGATGGACTCCAATAGACCTTAATAAGCCTCCAGTGGACTTTGATGGACCATGGGACCTCCAGTAGATCACAAGGAGCGGAGTCACTTGGGGGCCAAAATGGACCTATAGTAATCTTTTAAGACCTCAGATCATGACTGTCCTCGATTGAACCTTAATGGACCACATGTAGACCTTGTTGACGTCAGAGTGGACCTTGACGAACTTAGACGGTTCATGATGAACCAATCAACAATCCAAATGGACCTCTGAAGGACCGTGAGGGACCTCTAGTGGGACTCATTGCTCTTCTCCGACGAGACTTCGTCACAATCCTCGTCATCGTCGATCTCGTGGCACTGTGTCGGTTCCTCCCCTTTAGTCAACATATCATCCATACTCAGACCGCGGTTAAACACAGATCTTGAAGTCCTAAAATGTAAATTCATGTAGAAGGGTATAATATCAACATTTTCGATGCTCTCAAGAGGAAAACAAATTGGAAATAAATTGGCAATTTGTTTCGCCCTTCAACATACTTCTGACCTGAAAATCATTTATTTTTATCTAATAAAATCCATACAAAACATATTTAACAAAAGGGGAATTAAGTTTTTCAAGTAGGGAAAGGGAACAGATTTTTCTAGAAAATATTTACCCCTGAATACATGAAGTAAATCTAGTCAAGGGGGTAAAAAGTGAGGGTCACCTTGAATAATTGATTTACTAGGATGATCCTACAAAAATTAGATTTGTTTCTATTATGATTGAATCAAACCAAAATGTAGAATTAATTCGAGAACAGGTTATTTTTCTTAAATCACATTTCAAAAGTTAACAAACTGAAATTTTCACTTCAAGATGTTTTGTAGAATAATCGTTAAACTCACCTTGCCGTTACAGCCTGCAAGGTTTGATCGTGATGAGCAACAGTAGACTCATGGGGTAACAACATTGACGGGGCCCTGGAAATAAAGAGGAAAACTTCAAAAGTAGATTAAGTTTATCGTAAAAATAGTCTGTTTTATGATAAAACTAGCTCAAGTGTCCAGCGTTTCCCGTGGAATTTGAAAGCACTTGAAAAAACTTCGAATTAAAAGAAATTTCAATTTTAAAAAAATCGGATTTTTTTTATAGCCTATGGTCGGAAAGCTTTATTATATAGATATCTTTCAAAAATGTGTTGAAAGGATTGTTGACATAGCATCTTTTTTGTTTGAATCGTTTGAACAAAAACAGAGACATACAATTTTCGCATATCCCATGGCAACTGACTGACATGCACATTTTTTACTTATAATGGAGAATTTGATAAGATCGTGTACCGTATCGTACCGTTGTAAATCAGGCATTCATATCTTTGCATGAAGTGTCACTTAAAGTTGCGCTTACAGTCCCTTTAAACTTTAAACGGTTCTGTTGGGAGAGTTGAGGTGTAAAACACTTTTTCAGAAAACATCATATTGGAATATGGTTAAAATGAAATAACTGAATTTGCGCATTTTTTGGTATTAGAATTGTGAATTTTCATTGTATACAAGAATACGTTAATATTTTTATAACTCAAATTTTTTCACAGAATGAAAAAATTTCAAACAATAACAAAGTTACAGCAATTTTAAATTGGCAAGATTAAAATGACACCCTGTAGGTAAATGTCGTACTTTACTAACAATCATCACATTTAACACATTTGAAGCTAAAAAATACAATTCTAATTCAAGTTGTTAATTTTTAAGTTCGTTTTTATTTTATGAGCCGCACATGTCGTATGAGGATTTCAAGTGTCTATTGCTTTAAAGGTCGTCTTTACTGAAATTGGAGCGCATCCCGAGTATCTAACCTTATTATACAACCTTGAGTAGAACGAACCTGAACATGTAGAAGGTTGGGTAGAAGAGTAGGTTGAGCATAGTTCCAGCGTAAAGGTCAGCATACCTCACTACCTGGCTAGAGAAGAAGGTCTGACGGGACCCAGACCTGACAACAATTACAAATTAAAATAATTTTTCTTTTTCAAAAATAGCCGAACATGATGGAAGATGCACGAATCTTTTTAGAAAATTTTGTCAAAATTTAAACTTAAAAAAATGTGCTAAAAAAATTAAATAAGTTTTTTAACATAAAAATCACCACCTCCTCATCAATTATTAAAACTATGTCTGCGAAAAATTTTAGGAATTTTTTCAATCGCAAAATATTTTACTGAGGAAAAGCAAGTTGCTTAGCACTGGCTACCGTTATTAGTTGCTTATATATGATAGATTATATGGATGCAATTGCAACGCCTTCTTTGTTAATACTTACTTGCATAATACGCATTTAAATGAAATAAAAAAGGCAAGAATATAACCTGAAAACTGATCCTGTTGTACCATACGTCATCTCCATTGTGTGAATTGTCTCACGGATACTCTTCTTTATCTTTACAACATTTGGCCTAAACATTATTAATTTTAAACAAATGATTTTTTTCTTGATTATGTAAACATTAGCTTCATGTCTACGCTAAAAAGAACTGGTTTCCCCTTTCTACATGTCGTGGTTGCATAGAAAAGGTTTCTCCTATATACCTGCGTCCTAATACATAGAACCGGTTTCCTCTATCTACATGTCGTGGTTGCATAGAAAAGGTTTCTCCTATATACCTGCGTCCTAATACATAGAACTGGTTTCCTCTATCTACATGTCGTGGTTGCATAGAAAAGGTTTCTCCTATATACCTGCGTCCTAATACATAGAACCGGTTTCCCCTATCTACATGTCGTGGTTGCATAGAAAAGGTTTCTCCTATATACCTGCGTCCTAATACATAGAACCGGTTTCCCCTATCTACATGTCGTGGTTGCAAAGAAAAGGTTTCTCCTATACACCTGCGTCCTAATACATAGAACCGGTTTCCCCTTTCTACATGTCGTGGTTGCATAGAAAAGGTTTCTCCTATATACCTGCATCCTAATACATAGAACCGGTTTCCACTATCTACATGTCGTGGTTGCATAGAAAAGGTTTCTCCTATATACCTGCATCCTAATACATAGAACCGGTTTCCTCTACATGTCGTGGTTGCATAGAAAAGGTTTCTCCTATATACCTGCGTCCTAATACATAGAACTGGTTTCCACTATCTAACCCATAAAACCGGTTTCCATTATCCACTCATAAAACCGGTTTCCACTATCTACCCATAGAACTGATTTCCAATATCTACCCATAACACCGGTTTCCAGTATCTACTCATAGAACTGGTTTCCCATATCTACCCATAAAACCGGTTTCCACTATCTACCCATAAAACCGGTTTCCACTTTCTACCCATAGAACCGGTTTCCCCTATCCACCCATAAAACCGGTTTGCCTTATCTACCTGTCCTGATTGCTGCTGTCCATATTCTTGTATAGTTCAGACAACTCGTGGTCATAACTTTGAAGTTTGTCGAAAAGGTCCTTCTAAACAATAAGTGAATAAAAGGAAATATTAGAAAACTGAAATTTATACATTGAAAACGTGTGTAAATCTGAATTTAAGTCGTTTATCTATTCTTCTAATTAAAAACATCACTTTTTATTTTTAAATTTGTTATTGGTTAAACTCGAAAATGTCTGATTCACAATTGTGCACTTTAGAACATTATCTCAAAAACAATCTGGAAGACATAGTAAATTTCTCAACAAAAAAGTGTTAAATTCTGATAATTTTTGTCACTGTCTCAGAAGCATAAATGCGAAAACAACTTAATTTACCAGAGTAACAATAGAAAATACTAAATTATGCTCTAACCTTTGTTGTCCAAACATTAAGTTCGTCGTTAAGTTCTGGAACTATGAGGAAGGTTCTCCAACCTAGAAACAAACTTTGGATATCAAAATTTTGTTGAATCTTTGATGGTCAGAAATCTGTTTTCAATTTCCGGATCCATCCTGGGGAAGGGAGTTTATTTGATCCCAAAATGCAATGTGGCCACTTTAAAATCAACTTATAAGAAAAAATGCTTGATCCTTCAATTAAAGTTGTCCCTTCAAGAACAAATCCATAGGTCTGCATTAGATGGATATTGGAGAATGGAGGTTGATGCTCTATGCTGAGGTTCAAAACACAAAATTTCTGACTTCTGTGGAAAAAATGTGGATTCGGATCCAGATACAAAATTAGAGATGCAAGGCATGAATTACTAAACTACAGAGTCAACATCTTAAATCAAATGTGATTGAATGCATCACATTAAAATCACTAAACATTAATAACCCGTAGCACTTTAATACTTTGGTTTCTAAGATGTATTTATTCTTTCTTCTTTATTTTATTTTATATGGTAATAATGCTTCACTACTAAGTCTCAACATTTTACAAGATGGATCAACGTTTTTAACGTTTGTATGTGGGAACCATACAACTGTGAAATAAGATCACATTTGAGCAATTGTACGTGCATCTTTTTTATTTTTATAGGTTAAAAAGCAAATAAATTAGCCAGCACTAGCTTGAAAATCAAAAAGGTGAAATGGGTCAGTGTACACTGGTCACCACACAATTTTCTTTGTTTCATGTTAATTGAACTAATAAAAATCATAACTAAAGTCTTTCTTTGTCTTTCTTATCCACTGTTGTATGGGTGACGTTGTAACTCTCTCTCTCTCTCTCTCTCATACAACTGTGAAATAAGATCACATTTGAGCAATTGTACGTGCATCTTTTTTATTTTTATAGGTTAAAAAGCAAATAAATTAGCCAGCACTAGCTTGAAAATCAAAANCCCCCATCGAAGTTACATTTCTTTCTAGATTTTAACTATTTTTCAGAGGATTCTGTTTTTTTTTTTACCAAAGTCATACTTTAGTCCACTAAATACCTCTGAGCTTCTTTGACTTGAGTACATCTCCAAAGATATGATCTCCAACGTAAAGAACATCCCTGCCCCTGGCTCCGATAAGCCTGGAGAGAACGTCACAACTACCTCCGGAGTAAACAGCGTCCTCCTTGATACTTCCAGTGTGATGACCCAAACTAAAACAGGGTAACTTCTAATGGAGGAAATAGAAGTGTATATTTTTAAAAAATTATGATCTGGAGGATCAATTGAAAACTTGGACATCATATTCAGCAAATAAAACCCTAAATATTTACATTTTTTGTCTTTTTGTAGTGATTTTATTTAAGTTTGTTTGTAAATTCTATTTTGCTGAGTGGAGGGCGAGAAGGGGGGGGGGGCTAAGTGTCACTCCATCAGCGAAGTAATTTCCGCTTACTTACTTACTTATCCGGGTCTCTCCAATTTGGTGTATATGACCACAATTTTTTTTTTCTTCGCTTAATGCATCTTATTTCTTCAGCGCGGTGGGGGGAGGAAGGCAACCCGCAACCGTATAGCCTCCATCCCGCAATTTACTCACAAACATAGAGTTGCGGCAACGCACTCACTCGTAGCGCTTTCTAGCCGCACCCCTATATCCTCCGGCAAAATGTCTTTACTTTTAAATGCAGTGTTGATTTAAGATTTTAAAGATGTCATGGCATCTATTATAACCTTAACATATTTATCATATTTTTTTTTTGGGGGGGGGGGGGAGTAATAAAAGTAACAATTCTTGATTAAAAACTGTAATTTATGGCGATTTCCTCCTATAATGTAATATTTTGTACATGTCTGCTGATGTTGATCTTCTCTAAAAATGTATTTGAAGGTAAGGAGAAATTTAATCTTTACCAAAAATAACGCAGTTTTGCGTGCGATCCGATTTTAAGTTATCTAAAATCAGTTAGATAGACAGATTAAGATAATTTTGAACCGAATTGGAAACAAAAATGTGTTATTTTTGGTGAAAATTTAATCTCTTTCTTCCTTCAAAAATATTTTTAGAGAAGATCAACATCAGCGGTCATGTACAAAATATTATATTTTAGGAGAAAATGGCAAAATATTTTGGCGGAGGATATAATAGGGGTGTTAGTGAGTAAATTGCAAGATGAAGGTTATACGAGTGAGGCTTGCATCTCCCTCCCCATCCTGCAGCTATGGAGAAAAAAAAACTAATTAAAAAAAATTGATAACAAAAAAAACGACAAAAGTTAAGAAATCGTGATAAGGCTTTGGTTAAGAATGGTCATTGGTCAAGAATGAAAATGAAACCTAATAAAATCTAAGCTAAATTCATTATGCTATCAATTCTTTCCTGCTTATAGTAATGTTGTACCTTAGCTGTCCTGTATTCTTGTCCACCTGTCGCATCACAGTTCCCTCATTCCCCCCCCCCCCAACTGCATAACATGATGCTGTACCTGAGCTGTCCTGTATTCTTGTCCACCTGTCTCATCACAGTTCCCTCACTGAAGAACTCAGGCTTCCTACATCAACCAGAATTAAACGAATTGTTGACGCAGATTCAATAAAATTGTAAGATCTCTACGGATCTGAATGTCGTCTTGTTCAGGGTATCTCCAAACCGAACGCGGCATGACAAGACACAGTACAGACCAGGTTTAAAAAACAAGACTTGACCAGATAAATCGAGAGGAACTTAGATTTACCAAGACAACCCCAGATTTAACAAGATTAACCAAGACAAAACCAGATTATACCTGATAAACCAAGACAAACCAGATTAAACCTGATTTACCAAGACAACACCAGATTAAACCAGATTAAAAAGACAAAACAAGATTAAAACAGATTAACCAAGACAAACATAGGTCAAACCAGATCAGACAGGACAACCTCAGATTTAACCTCTAATAAATAATACAAAATCAGATTAAACCCTACTAACCAAAAAAAAACAGATTTTACTAGATTAACCAAGAAAAAAACACAGATCAAACCTGATAAAACCTGATTGAACTAACCTGGCATCAACAAAGGTATAATCAAAATATCTCTGCCAGCTCTCCCCGGCGTAGGGTGCGTCGGGAAAGTTAAGCAGGTACTCCATAACCTAATAATAACATTTTAGCTGTTGTCAGGCTTTCAGGAATCTGCAGATTAATTAAATAGATTAAGGAATTGTTTAGATTTTGTAGTAAGTATTTATCACTATCCTGACCTTGTTAGTATAGTTCCAATCTGAGTTGGTGAGAAGGAATGTTTTAGCTCCTGATGCTCGAAGATTATATAATACCTTTGGCAACCTAATAATAATAACAATTATCTACAACAATAATAATAATCGTCAATGATGATAATAATAATCTACAATAATAATAATAATCTACAATGATAATAATAATGAGCATCATTACCTCTCTAAAATTATTAGTGTATTAGTCGTTGTTTCATATCCGTCTGTATTTGAGGAATTTGTATCAGTGTCCAGTGTCTGCCTCAAAGTCGGTGTCTGAATCGGAGTCAGTGTCTAAATCAGTGTCCAGTGTCTGCCTCAGAGTCGGTGTCTGAATCGGAGTCAGTGTCTAAATCAGTGTCCAGTGTCTGCCTCGGAGTCAGTGTCTGAATCGGAATCGGAATCAGTGTCTAAATCAGAGTCCGTGTCTGCATCGAGTTGGTGAATGAATCGGAATCAGTGTCTAAATCAGAGTTGGTGTCTTGCATCAGAGTTGGTGAATGAATCGGAGTCAGTGTCTAAATCAGAGTCGGTGTCTGCATCAGAATTGGTGTCTGAATCAGAGTCAGTGTCTAAATCAGAGTGTTGGTGTCTGAATCAGAGTCGTTGTCTGCGTAAGAGTAGGTGGCTTCATCAGAGTTGGTGTCTGTATTGAAGTCGGCGTCTGTATTGAAGTCGGCGTCTGTATTGAAGTCAGCGTCTGTATTGAAGTCAGCGTCTCTATTGAATCAGCGTCTGTATTGAAGTCAGCATCTGTATTGAAGTCAGTGTCTGTATTGAAGTCAGCGTCTGTATTGAAGTCGGCGTCTGTATTGAAGTCAGCGTCTGTATTGAAGTCCGCTTCTGTATTGAAGTCGGCATCTGTATTGAAATCGGCGTCTGTATCGAAGTTGGTGTCTGTATCAGAGTAATTGTCTGCATCAGAGTTGGTGTTTAAATCAGAGCAAGTTTCTGAATAAGAGTTGGTGTGTGCATCATAGTGGGTGTGTGCATCATAGTCAGTGTGTGCATCAGAGTTGGTGTCTGCATTGAAGTTGGTGTCTGCATTGGAGTCAGTGTCTAAATCAGAGTTGGTGTCTGTATCTGAGTTGGTGTCTATATCGGAGCCGGTGTCTGAATCGAAGTTGGTGTCTGAAGCGGAGTTGGTGCCTGAATCTGAGTTGGTGTCAGAATCTGAGTCGTTGTCTGAATCGGAGTCGTTGTCTGTATTGGAGTCAGTGTCTGAATCGGAGTCAGTGTCTGTATCGGAGTCAGTGTCTATTTCAATGTTCATGACTGTATCGGAGTCTGTGTCTGTAAAAAAAAGTCCATGTCTCTATATGAGTCCATGTCTGTATAGAAGTTCGTATTTGTATCTGAGTCTATATATGTATCTGAGTCGTCTGTATCTGAGTCCGTGTCTGTATCTGAGTCCGTGCCTGTATTTGAGTCCTTGTCTGCATCTGAGTCTGTGTCTGTATCTGGGTACGTGTCTGTATCTAGTCTGTGTCTGTATTTCGGCCCATGTCTGTATCTGGGCCCATGTCTGTATCTGGACCATTGTCTGTTTCTGAGTCCCTATCCGTATCCGAGTTGGTGTCTGTATCTGAGCATGTGACTATATCCGAGCTCATGTCTGTATCTAACCTGTCTTTGTCTCTGTATCCGAGCCCATGTCTGTATCTAACCTGTCTCTGTATCTGAGTCCGTGTCTATATCTGAGTCCTTGTCTGTATCTGAGTCGGTGTCTGTATCTGAGCCTGTGTCTGTATTTGAGTCCGTATTTATATCTGAGTCTTTGTCTATGTCCGTCTTGATGTTTAGTCTGACCTTTCGTCCTTATGAATATAAAGCTGAAGATTTTCACAAGTTTTCTCTTTAAGTTCTCCTCTCATATGAACATAGTCAACAGCGTTCCTCACATCCTGGCAGTATAGAAGTTAGTAATCTTTATTATTATCATTAACAATCAACCTACAGTCAATGTTTCATGTCCTGTACGCAGTGTGAGGTTGAGCTCCAGAGTCAAGCTCCAGCCACTTACCCATGTCTGCTTTGATTTTAGCGGATCATACATTATATGGTAAAGTAAACTGAACTACTCTGCAAAATCATGCTCAATATACGTTTAAATAGTGTATCTATATTCTATGTGTATATGAACTATTAATCTCTGTTTGTTTGTCTGTTGACTTTTATAGCGGAACTTTTGTTTCCTTGCAAACCTGGGTTCCCAAGCTAGTCTGAATTTATCTTGGTAGGCGCCTCCAGATTTTATGCTTATATTGCGGAATTAAAAAATGTACGTAACCCCCAATCTTTCTCACAGAAAGTTTTTTTATCCTACTCGGTTATGTCCATCCCAGGGGAATGGAGACGTTTTTCCAACTATAACAATTTCTTAAGAAAGAAAAAATAAAAACCAACAAACCAAAATGGACGGGCGACAAATTATAAGAAGAAAGAAAACGAGAACCTGTGGACGCGCAGATGGAGAAATTATTAACAATGCCTCGTACAATTTTATTTTATAAACATTATAAAAAAAAAAAAATTTAAAAATTGTTTTAAAAAATCGACAAACCTGAAATATTGACTCGTAGGACATCAGCAGATCTTTCCACTTAAACCCTTCCTGCAATATTTAACATTTGGTGAATAGGGATGATGGTTTATACAAAATCTCTAAACTGAAACATCAGAAATAAATAAATTTCATTTCTTGCAGCAAGAACAGTTACATTATTTTTTATAAATTTTTCTTACGGCTTTTCCTTAACATATTTCATTTGTTATTACTTTTCACAGAATACACATAATTCAGAAATTGCGTCAATAATTATACAAAAGGATCTAAATATATTCATTCGCTTTTTCTTCGACCCAACAAAAACGACAATAATTATTTTACCGAAGCTAGGAAATCAATGCTTGATTTAGCTCTTTTGTTAATCTGCAGATTAATTTGATCTTTATTTGATATCCGGCATGGTAATCGTACCCAGTCATGGGGTTTAAGGGAGCTTTAATCAGAGGAGGAATAACTGAAGTGAAGTGATTAAGCATTGATCCTCATATTAAAAGTGCCCACAGTGGAAATCGAGATCAAGCGATTGGGATTGTGAGTAACCAACACAAAAGTTCCCAAGTCTGTTGACATTTTTCTGAAAAGCTTAAATGAATCCTAACTAATTCAAGGTTTAAGATGAAAATAATACAAGTCCCCGCTAACGACCTCCAATATGATCAACAGACGTTTTAAATCAATTTTCAATTCAATCACAAAGTTTGAAATAGGGGTGTATTATTTTAAAGCCCACCCCTCTCACATTCAACAAAAATTATGTTGAATGAATTGGCCACTGAAAGGCAAGGGTATTATAATCCTATAAGATCCTTTTCCCCAAAAACTTCCAAATACAGCGAAGGAAATCCTAAAAAAACTACTAGGGGAATGTTTTTCAAAAAAATATACACCCCTGGTTTGCAAGTAAAAGTATTTTGAGTGCACACCTTGGTTTCCTTGTACTCTGGATGTTTAGCGAAGTAGTCTATGATTGCAGCAATGAGATATATCTCTGGTAGGTTGAACAAGGTGTTGTAAACATAGATTCTCTTCTCTTCAAGTTGGATAAACTTATTCGGATAGGTTACAGATATCTCCTCGGGCTTCAAAAATCTGAAAGAATAAAAAGATTATTTTTTTCTGGGCTGAAAGGTGTCTCCTTGATCTCATTCTACAAAGCTTTATTGCAATTTTTGAGAAGACAATTTTCAGGGATAGCCCAAGAGAAGCTAAGACTGTCTGCTGTCTACTCTGGAGAATAGAAGAAAGTGAGGTGATATGATTTAAATTTGAACAAATCCTATTTAAGCATGATTATGTGGATAAAAACGAATAGTTTAGCTGAATTGAGTCAGAATTTAATGAATTTGAGCCGCTTCTCAAATCCGCCAATAACCAGTTTCAATTGAGCGCCGGCTTAAGTCTTGAAACATTGAATACGATTCTAAGTGGAACCAACCGCGTGGTGGAGCCGCATCTCAAATTCTTTAAATTCGGCCTCTGATATACCCGGAGAAAACGGAAGAAAACCCCAGGATATCCAATGTTCTTTATATCTGACGTGTTCTGTTGGGCAAAATTAATTATATGTCAAACTTGTTTAGTGCAAGATGTATAGAAGTGTAAAGATATCCCAAGCTCCTAGTGCAAAATGTAGCTAAAAGTGTAAACATATCCCAAGCTCCTAGTGCAAGATGTAGCTAGAAGTGCAAAGATATCCCAAGCTCCTAGTGCAAGATGTAGCTAGAAGTGTAAAGATATTCCAAGCTCCTTGTGCAAGATGTAGCTAGAAGTGTAAAGATATCCCAAGCTCCTTGTGCAAGATGTAGCTAGAAGTGTAAAGATATCCCAAACTCCTAGTGCAAGATGCAGCTTGAAGTGTAAAGATATCCCAAGCTCCTAGTGCAAGATGTAGCTAAAAGTATAAAGATATCCAAAGCTCTTAATGCAAGATGTAGCTAGAAGTGTAAAAATATTCCAAGCTCCTATTGCAAGATGTAGCTAGAAGTAAGATATCCCAAGCTCCTAGTGCAAGATGTAGCTAGAAGTGGAAAGATATCCCAAGCTCCTAGTGCAAAATGTAGCTAGAAGTGCAAAGATATCCCAAGCTCCTTGTGCAAAATGTAGCTAAAAGTGTAAACATATCCCAAGCTCCTAGTGCAAAATGTAGCTAAAAGTGTAAACATATCCCAAGCTCCTAGTGCAAGATGTAGCTAGAAGTGTAAAGATATCCCAAGCTCCTAGTGCAAAATGTAGCTAGATTCTAGAAGTGTAAAGATATCCCAAGGGAAAATTCTAGAAACCTGAACAAAAAATAGGCTTGAAAATTGGCGTAACATTAATGTTTTAAATTATCACACCCGTGATAAACAAACATTGATACACCAAAATTTTTTTTAAAAAATTTAACAAATTAATGGAAAATTTCTCCTAACATGATAATGTAACCCCCCCCCCCCCTCCCCTGAAACAAATTACTCGTGAAAATGTAACCTATTATTACCTGAGACCGTGCACACAGAAGAGAATATTACCGAATCCGTCGACCTGAAAAAAATTAATTATAATTGATCATAAATAGTTTATACGTTTTCGAATTTGACTTTCTACAAAAAGAAACAACATAAATGTCAGCAAAAAAGATGAGAAAACGTTCTTTAAAACTGTGATTCTAAATAATAAACATTTTTTTTTAAAAATAAGATCCACAAAAACATACCAACAGATGTCAGGGTATAGCATTAACTCTGCGACTAATTGTGATAGTTACAATACATGCTATAAGCTTACAAAATGTTTTTAGCGATAAATAGCTTTCTTACTAGATTATTAACTATTATATTAATTACCTTGAGTAGGTTTCCGTGGAGGTTATCCCACCACAGTCCACGGATAGGAAACTCAGCCTAGTGATAAAGTATATTAGATAATTAGAAAATTAGAAAATCAGTCAATCAATCAATCATTTATCCCAGCAATATCTATGGATAGGGAGACCACAGTCTAGTAAAATATTAATTTGGACAATAAATCAATCAAGCATCAAATCATAGTTCACGGAACTCAACCTAATGATAAAGTTTATTGAACAACAAACCAATCAATCAGAACATCATTAGATTAGAAAATCAATCAATAAATCTGTCAAACATCATGGAATTTGCAAGAGCGTGTCGACCCCTCAGACCGCCGGCAAGTGTGTAAAAGACTGTCCCTCACCCATTCCAATGCCGAACCTTTAACCCCCACTTGCTTTACCCAGCCGGGGAGGGGGGGGGGGGTCAAGGATAGGGAATTCAGCCGAGTATTTAAGACAAGACAATCAATCAATCATTCAATCGTGTATCCCAACAATATCCATGGAAAGAGATCTTAGTCTAGAGTAAAATAGCAATTTAGACAATCAATCAATCAAACATCACACCGTAATCCATTGAAGTATATTAAACAATCAATTAATAAATTAATCAACCAATCAATTATCATTATTTCTCCCACCATAGTTCACGGATAAGGAACTCAACCTAGTGTTAAGTAATTTGGACAATCAATCCACGGATAGGAAATAACAATAATCAAGTTATTAGACAGTCAATCAATCAATCAATCAAAAGGATATTTTTTAAAATCAATTACAAGACAATAATTAAAATTGAAAATAGGTTGATTAATTGATTAAATATCTGCAAATTAAGGGATTAATTAGTTAGACATAAATCAATTATTTAAAGTTGTTAGAACAATACTTTGTTACCTTGAACTCGAGTTTTGCTAGTTCTGATGGGTATCCTAGTTTCAGCATATGGTCTCTTAAACATAACATGAGTAATGAGGAATTTTGGACAAAAATCAAGCTTTGTCATTTTCATATTCTGTAGAATCTATTTCTGATGTCAATTAAATTTATGTTTTACTAGCTGAAGGGCCCGGCGTTGCCCGTGAAAAAAAAAAAATGAAATCAAAACTTTGAAAAATTTAAAAATTTTGATTTTTTAACCCTAGGACACGGCCATCCATGAGTGTACACAAAAAAATTCATCCCATTCGATTCAGCCGTTTGGCCGGCTATCGGTGACATAAACACGAATTTGTTGTTTTATTATAAAGATTTATTTAAATCATCCAAACAATTTTAGCCACAAGAGAAATATAAGGAATCAAAAGGAAGTAAAATCTGCAAGAGAGAAATATATAAACGAAAAACCCATAATTCTTTAAAAGACGACTTCTAGTGTTCTATCTGTATTGTTATTAATCTATTATAAAAGTATTTTCTAACCTGATCATGTTGAAACCAAGCTTCTCATAGTTTGGAGATATATATTCGGCCAGGGTATAATCCATATCAAATCCATAGAACTAGAAATACCAGAAGTTTGTATACAAATTGATTTGGTAATTTCCTAAAAAACGATTTTTGGATCACTCCCTGCGCCCCCCCCCCTCTCTTGTGATTTTTTACATGCATCTCATATTTAACGCATAGATATAATTGGTCATGTGATCGCAGTGCCCGGCCCCATAGTCTGTCCTAGCCGCAGCACTCTGCCAAGAAATTGTCTAAACCTAATCTAACCCTAAAATTTAAATACGAAATTAAAAACAATAATTTTCTTTAAAATTAGATGGTAATGTACAAAATTGATAGGAGGGGGGGGAGAAGGGGGTCGAGATGGTCCAAAAAATCGTATGACAGGACCGACCAATTGATTCAGTACACTGAAAAGAAATCTTGAAAAATAAGCTTCTATGTAATTTTACGCGCAACTAAAAACAAATAGATTATTCTATCACTGAATTACAACCAATAAGAAACTTATTGGAAATTAGTTTCAGGCGTTAAACGGAAAAACAGATTGCAAGATAAAGTCCAATATTTCGAATTATTTTTCAATGTGAGAAGTAGATTCGTTATAATTATAGAAACTTATCAATCAGTAGCGTATACTAGAACTCGTCCAGAGCACGTTCTCTCTTTAGATAGTGGTCGTGAAGTTCACTTACTTTGGGGGACGATAGTTTGGCCGTAAGAGGTCTCTCGTATGAAGTATCTATCTATCAGATAAGAATTTTGCGTGAGACATCTAGCGGCCAAACTATCGTCCCCTAAAGTACGTGAACTGCATGACCACTGTTTAAACATTATGAAGTACGTAAACTTCACGACCACTGTTTAAACATTATGGTGGAGAGAACGGGCTCCGGGGGGTAGTTATCTTAAATTTATTTTTAGGGTGTGGGGGGAGTACGGATTGGCAGCCGTCCGTTGGTCCCGAGACACTCTTTTATTGAACGATATATTCAAAGAGCAACTGAAAAAGGAATTCGGCCGTCGTCTATTATTAAGTAACTTAACACCGCCCCCCCCCCCCCATGTAAATCAAATTCAAAGACTAGAATTTGTTTAAACTTATTTATTCACCTTGATTTTCTCCAGTGAGAGAGATCTGTTTGTAAATATGCGCTTGTGAGGTTCTCTCTTCTCCATGGAAGATGCACAAGCACCAGGAGCGTCCATTTTTGATTTGGTAAATTTACAGTTATCTGCATAAATATAATAAGAATTTTAAATTAGTTAGGTCAGTTGTTTAACAGTGTAGTTGTAGTTACAGTATGTACGCGACGTTTCGATAAAAACAAAACTTCTATTTGGTGAATAATACAAATAACGATTTTACTTAATAACTTTTTCATTACGCGCCACGTATTAATCTAAAGTTGCGTAAAATACTATTTCATTTAAATGTGCAAACCGCTCAGAAAGTATTTCGTTTTCGTAACTGATAAAGTTTGCGCAAATACCGCACAATATGTATTTCTCAACTGTCATTCCTGCAATTGTCGTCTTCGTCAAGGAGGCATTTTCTAATTCATAAATATAATTACAAAGGATAGCGAATAGCGAATAGCGAGTTGTTACTTTGTTTTTGTTTTTAAATAAAAGGTGGATTTTAAAATTGAATATCTTTTAAATTTACACGAAAATAATTGAAATGTTCAGACAATTCAGATATTTCAGATTTTAAGTCAACATATGTTGAATAATTCTAAATTCTAAAGTAATAGTCAATGTCATTACAATTAGATGTTTTTTTTTCAATAGAAATAAAGGGTATGGGCAATGAAAAATACATTTTTACTTTAAAATAATTTATTAGATTTATTTAAGATATTAACATACTACATTGACGACAAGAAAATTTTATAAATTAGAAATAATTGAATATAAACAAAGACAATATTTTTTCAAAGTTTTGCAGAGTAGCTTTTCTAAAGATTTAAAAATGAGTGGAAAATGCAAATTAAACCCAATTGAAACCAATAATTTCATATATTCATCATGATATTTTTTCTATAGGGGGGGGGGGGGTAAAAAAAATTTACCCCTCCCTACAGAATCCTTACTTATAACGCCCCTGAGTACAATGGACACTGGACAGGCACTTCCCAAGTACCAACTCCCAGGACTCCCAGTGGCAAAATAGTCAAACTGGGGGGAGGAGGGGAGGGGGTGATTACCCCCCCCCCTTTCCTTTACTGATCTTAATATGGGCAACCTTCCGGCAAGGGCGTACACAGAAATAAATCTGGGAGGGCGAAATTAGCGCGAAATGTCAAAATAAAAGTTTGCCCCCTCCTCCCCTAGGAGCTCCTAGGGGGTGCAAAATTTGAACTCTAAATTCAAAACTTTGTCTTCTTGGATATCAGCTTTAAATATAAGATACTTTAAAGGTACACATACAATCCAATTTCTTTGCATTACCTTTATCTCTCCTTCAAACAAAACTAGCAGAAAAATTTATTGTTTCTAAAAACTCGACATTTTATTTTACTGTTATGTTAGTAATAATTAGTATATTTAAACTAGAGATAATAGACATTTTGGAAAATGAAAAACTTAAGTTAAACTTAAATTCATTGAGATGAAAAAAGGACAAATTAGTCCAGAAATAATTATGACTTGTAAAAGTTTCTGTTGTGAAAAAAAGTAGGACTACAATCGTAGTCTATATAATAATGCTCTTCGTTCATTTACGTGTTTGCTATAGGCTGGCCAACGACTGAATCAAATGGGCTGAATTTTAGTGACGAAACTCATGGATACCCTTGGGGATGAAAGAAGCTAAATAAATTAAAAGTTTTTTGTTTTGATTCGATTTTAAAAATTCCATGGGCAACGCCGGGCACTTCAGCTAGTTGTAATAAAAAGAAATATTGCAAAACGGCGGTGCAGTGCAATGAATAAAGTAAATTAAATCCAAATTTTAAAAATAAAATGGTCTTTTAATACCTCAATTCAAGCCTATTTGGCTTTGCACAAAATTATTAAACTTTATTGCTATACACAGTGGGCCGGGGTGTGCCACAGGTCAACTTTTTTTTGCCTTAACACCTCAACAAATTTTAGTTTTATAAATCAAGACTAAAAAAACTGATTTTTAACTCATTACACACTCGATTGTTTTAGCAAAAAATCTATGAATATTTAAACAGAAACTTTTTAATTGCACGAGTAGTCGAAATATTGCTAGAACAAAGAAAAAAAGCATCAAAAAGGATGCAACAGCCTGTGAAAACTCAAGATAAAGCATGAAAATATTCAGCTTTTCAAATTTCGAATTTTATAAAACTACACCTGCAGGCTGGATATTTCCCTCTTTTGCCATTTTTAGTTTTAGTATATGTAAAAATGGACCAGTAAATTACAATAAGGGGAAGGGGTGTAATAAAAATATTTGTTTTTTTTTTACTTTTACAAAAGTCATTGGTAATTTTTATGTCAAACCCCCATGACACAATCAAGGTTGGAAGGGGTCCTATTTTGAAGAAGTGATTTGAGTTTTTGCCACAAACTCAAATTTTATAATCCCTTTATTTTTAGATTCTGATGGTGTTAACATTTAATATTTCAAAATGCAGCAGAATAATAGTTTGAAAAATCTAATGTCTACGACATTTGGTTGCAAAGATATGGCGAAAAGAAAATTTGAGTTTGTGGGAAAGACTCACATCCTTTTGACTGATTTAAAGTGGTGTCGAGAAGAAATTTTTAAAATCCAGTGTTTAAAATAAAATAAAATTAACCTGCAGATTGCAGAAGGGTCCTCCCGCTCACTATAGTTGTACCCGCTTTAAAGGAAGAGGCACTTCCCCCAATTTTCCAAATGTAACGTCCCCCCTTCCTTTTTTTGGATTCATGATTGGGAAACATTTTTCATGATTTCAATAATGAACTTTATCAAAAACAGTAAAAAAAAATATTACTTATTCCATATTTTATTAGAAAAACATAAACAGCTATTTCTCTAATAATTAATACAGGTTAAAAAAAGTAACCATCGTATAACATTTATCACAATATTTGTGTTTTCTAACTATACTATACAATATACCAAGTAAAATAATTTAGAAAACACTTAAAGAACACTTTTTTAAGCAGCTTGGACAAACAGAAGCAGGTGTGTTATATAAAATATTCTTCTCGTCTACGAATCCATTCAGAAAAAAAGAGATTGTAATTCTTTACATTTTTAGTTTGAATTTATTACAAGATTTTCACAAAAATGTTGGTTAAGGTTAATAAAGCACACATTTTCTTTTTTATTGAATTTGGAACTCACAAAACTATGGAATAGGAAGACGACTGTAATGATTTAAAAATTGTCCACTAAACATAAAACACAGAAATTTAAATTCTTACTTAAAAGTTGATTTTTAATTTACTAAGCAAAACTATTTGCTTAGTAAATCTACACCAAAAGCAAAAAAGATTACTTTAATGTCGTCTTCCTATTCCAAACTGTTATAAGCCTTTCTCTATGGACATAAAACTGATTTTTATGCAGAAATATATCTATTTATTATTCAGTGTCGCAAGCAACATTGATAAACATTGGATTTAAACATTCTAACCAAAACATTGAATATAAATATCGTTGCATTCACTGTCAATGAAAATGAAAATAGAATTCTTAAGTTTAGCTTAGTTTAATTTTGAAAGTGAATTAATTGTCCATGTATCGGTTAAAGAATGTTTTGCCCGTACAACATTATACATACAGTGTACAGTGTACACCGTACACCATGTTTAGGGTACAGTATGTACCGGTAGAAACTGTTTTTACAGATTCTTTCAAATCACTTATAATTAAATAAACTGTATAGAACAAAGAACATAATGACAATTCATTTAAAAAATTAAATTATGTCCATCAAAATATTTCTAGCAAATGTTTCATACAAAGAAATTTTCTTTGTCCTCTTTTTAAAACATAATACAGAAAACTTTATGTCAATTTTTTTCGCGGAAATTAAATAAAATTTGAAAATTCCAAATTTGTCGTTTTCATGATAATTTGTTTGGATTTTGATTGTAATTAAATTTGCAATCTAAAGCACGAAATCCCCCCTCTCCATATTTCTGCAGGGGTTTTATCGTAAACAGTTATATCTAAAATTCAGTGATGGTGATGGACCAAACCTCTGTAGAGTAAAAAAGTAGATGTTCGATAGAATTCGAAACTTTTGTGTGAGATTAAATGCTACGCCACGGTGGCAACTACAGTTAAACCAAGAACTTCAAGAAGAATTTATTTAATCCTTAGGATGTCAAAAATTACAGATAACACATGAATTCGGGATTCTCGACACAAAAGATTTGACTTCGTAATTTTCTGCTGAATGAACAAGTATGCAGGAAAGAACTAGGCAAGGGTAAGAAATTCGTTTAAAGAAAAACGTATTTTTGTCAAAGTATCAAAGAAATTGAGTTTTTGCCACACAATCATATTTTCTCATCCCTATATTTTTGCAACCTGATGGTGCAAACCTGTCATATTTCAAACTTAGAGTTTTGATCTATAACCATAGCTTAAAATATCAAAGCTGTGCTACTCAATTAATTTTTACAAAAAGCGAAAATATGGCGACAAAAACTAATTTTTTCCATGTAATAAACGATCTTTTAAATAGCTTTTGACAAATAACAACAATTAGTAACATTTATCAAGTTTCTAGTCAAAATTGTATTTTTGCTGCAAGTGCAGTGTTCAGGCTTCCAGCCTAAATATTTGATTACTAAAAATATCTAATTGTTGTATAAATCTAATCAACTTTTGGTTTTAGTTAATTTTTTCAACCTTCAAAATTTACTATAAATACGTGAACAATATTAAAGTATATAAATTCAACAGCAACATCATAATTAACCTCCGCAACCACCACAACCTCCACATCCACCACATCCTCCACAACCACCGCAGCCTCCACAACCGCCACAACCACTGAAAATAAAACTCCTTATATGGTTAAATTTTAAAAAAATGATTGTGTTACATAATTTGTATCATGTTTGAAATATTTCTAAAGGCGTGAATTTAATTTGAAAAAAAATCTGAGTTTACTCCTGTATATGCCTAGTCCATTAGCGCCTGATCCAATCAGGATCCAGTCATGCGTTTGTTGTCTATTCTGTACCAATAGAAAAAGTATGGCGGTAATATCTATCTTTCCTTCTATCTCATTATCCAATTAGAGTTATGAATCCTTCAATCAGCGCTATCAGTAAATGGAAATATTTACTTCTGCTGAAGATTAATTTATACTTTTATAAATTTTTCCTTAATTTAATGAAATATCTAAGATGATTATTTAAAAATGCTTTAACAAATTAACAAAAAATACAAAATCATTCTTCAGTTTCTTTTTTTTATATTTAAGTATAAGTAAAAGCATAGAGAATAGAATATATAGAGAGGAATTTATTAGAAAAAAGTGTAAAACAGCCATTTTGTTGTACTGTTTCCATACTGCAGGTGTACTTCACATATTTATGCTATATAACCTGTTGGTCAATCCCTTTAATCCTTAGTTAAACAACAATCCCTTTAATCCTTAGTTGAACAACAATCCCTTTAATCCTTAGTTAAACACCAATCCCTTTATTCCTTAGTTAAACACCAATCCCTTTATTCCTTAGTTAAACAACAATCCCTTTATTCCTTAGTTAAACAACAATCCCTTTATTCCTTAGTTAAACAACAATCCCTTTAATCCATAGTTAAACACCAATCCCTTTAATCCTTAGTTAAACACCAATCCCTTTAATCCTTAGTTAAACAACACTCCCTTTAATCCTTAGTTGAACAACAATCCCTTTAATCCTTAGTTAAACAACAATCCCTTTAATAGTTAGTTGTATATTAATCACTTTAATCCTTAGTTGAATATTAATCCAATTAATCCTTAGTTTAATATTAATCCCTCTAGACCTTAGTTGAATATAAATCCCTTTAATCTTGAATTGATTATTAATTCTTTTAATCCTTAGCTGAATATTATTTCATCTAATCCTTAGTTGAATATTAATCCCTATAATCCTAAATTGATCATTAATCTCTTTAATTCTTAGTTTAATATTAATCTCTTCATTAGTTAGTTGTGTATTAATCACTTTAATCCTTAGTTGAATATCAATCCCTTTAATCCTTAGTTGAATATTAATCCCTCTAAACCTTAGTTGAATATTAATCCCTTTGATCCTAAATTAATTATTAATTCTTTTAATCCTTCGTTGATTGTTAATCTCTTTAATCCTTAGTTGAATTTTAATCTCTCTAAACCTTAGTTGATTATTAATCCCTTTAATCCTAAATTAATTATTAATTCTTTTAATCCTTAGTTGAATATTAATCTCTTTAATCCTTAGTTAAATATTGATCCCAGTAATCCTAAATTGATTATTAATTCCTAGTTTAATATTAATCTCTTCAAACCTTTGTTAAATATTAATCCCATTTAATCCTTAAATGGATATTAATCCCATTTAATCCTTAGATGGATATTAATCCCCTTTTATCCGAAATTGAATATTAATTCATTTAATCCTATGTTGGATATTAATCCCTTAAATCCTTAGTTGAAGATGTTAATCTCTTTAATTCTCGTTAATTATTAATGTCTTTAATCCTAAATTGAGTTTAATAGTTAGTTGTATATTAATTATTTTAATCCCAAGTTAAACATTATTTCCTTGAGTCCTTAGTTGAATATTTTTCACTAAATTGAGTATTAATCCCGTTAGTCCTAAATTGAATGTAAATCCCTTGAATCCTAATCTAAATGTTAATCCTTTTAATCCTAAGTTAAATATCATCACTTTAATCCTTAGTTAAATATTAATCCCTTTTAATAATAAATTTAATATTAACCCCTTTCATTGTTAAATATTAATTAATTTACTCCTAAATTGAATATTAATCCCTTCAATTAAAAGTTAAATATTCATTACTTTAATCTTAAGTTGAATAGCAATCCATTCAATCCATAGTTGAATAGTAGTCTCTTTAATTGTAAATCACTTTAATCCTTAGTTGAATATGTATCCCTTTTATCCTTAGTTAAATATTAATCCCAACAATCCTAAAATTCTTATTAATCCTTTTAATCCTCAGTTTAGCATAATCAAGGGGATTATTAATCCCATTAATTCTGAAATTACCCGCAAGCTCCACATCCGCCTGAGTCGGAGTAGTCTCCTACACAACCAGCAGCATCTCCGCCCTGTATCAATAAATCAATCAATCAATGTTTCTACTTTATATCTTTCTATTTATCTATCTATCTATCTATCTATCTATCTATCTATCTATCCATCTATCTATCTATCTATCTATCTATCTATCTATCAATCAATCAATATATCTATCTATCTAAGGATTTTACCAAACAATTAATTAATCAATTAAGTTATCTATTAATCTATCTGCTCACACTGCAGTGGTGCTTGATGTGACTGTTACTAGGCAGGTTCTCTATCTCGCTCCAACCACAGGCGTAGAGCATAGTGCAGTCCCCGTTCTCCTCGTACACCTGCTTTACCTTCTTCTCACCCCGCTTCACGTTCGTCGGCTAAAATATAAAAGAAATTGAGTCTTTTCACAAACTTAAACATTCATATCCGGCTATACCTTTCCAACCTGATGGTGTAAATCTTTAATATTTCAAACTTAGATAATTTGATCTGACAGAATTCAAAGTTTAAATATCAAGGTCTGTACGACATTGGGTTGGCATAGATATAGAGATTAGAGAATAGAAATTCAGAGTTTGTGGAAAAGACTCAATTCCTTTAAACATAATAATAGAATTTGTATTTGTCAACAATTATTATGAATTTTATACGTTTTGTTCAAGATCAAATGCACTTTGAGTTTTAAATGCTTAATGTTTTGCAGTAAGAACCAGATAACTGTGAAATAGGAAGACGACATTTAGCAATCTAATGTGTGTTTGACATATGTAACATGGGTTTGTGCACAAATGCTATAGTTTTATGTTGATTGGAATAATTGAAATCATGAGATTCTATTCCACAGTTTGATGGGTTCCACTATGTGTTAAGCCATGTTTGTTGTTGTCTATTCTGAACCAATAGAAATCGGTAGCATATCTATCTTTCTATCTATCTCATTATCCAATTAGAGATAAATCCTTATATCGGCGCTATAACAGTATATGGAAATATTTACTTCTACTGAAACTATAGTAACAGTATATAGTTTACCATCTTAGGCCTAGGTTGAACTAGGAGGTAGAGAGTAGAGATAACAAATGCTAGACCAATATTCTGAACAGTTTCAGTCTCCCAGGGAGGAACTGTTATACTTCCTTTCTTTAAATTCACCTACAATAATATTAATAATATTAATTATAATCATAATAATGATAATAATAATAATAATGATAATATACCTTTATCTGAGTAACAAAAGAAAAATAACATTTTTTCTGTCAAATAATGTTAGATGCTGTTAAATTTCTGTAGCATGAACGCGTCATATCTTAATTTTCTTTTAGTGAAACCAAAATTAAAATTAATAGATTTTAGCCTCAAAACTAGGATATCCTATTCATTCCTGATAGTACAAAGGTTTAAAGGGTACCGTTGTGCATTGTCAATGAACAGAGGCATTTAAATTACCCCTAAAATCACTTCCAGCAGAATGTTTGTGTGCCTGTATTTCTTTAAATTATCAATGAGCTTTTTATTTCAAATGCTTTGAATGGAAACATCAGAATGACAAAAATCGGCAGAAACTCAGTCTTAAAAATGTGAGCAATGATTCAAGCATAAGAAATCAAGAAAGTTTGAAAAAAGTGAAATATATTTTTTCATAAAATTTACCTTAATATTGTTCACCCAAAATGTATACTTTTTGGTCCCTGTTGGAAGTACGACAAAAACAGGTTTAGCATGGTTCCGCCTAAAAACAAAACAAAATAATTTTATTTTTAAACCAAGGAATCATGTCTTTGCCACAAACTCTGATTTCTTAATCCCTATAACTATACTACACAAATTCAGTGACATTTTTAGAAAAGAAAAAAATAATATCTCCATCTGGAAATAAGAATCACTTTAAATTACGTAGACAGTCCATTTTAATATCATCTTAACAGAGAAATTGAGTCATTGCAACAAACCTTTTATAATCCTTTAATCTTTGCAACCCACCGTCGTAGACCCTATAAATTTTGCCAGATCATATAATCTAAGTTTAGAAAATATCAACGGTTTAAACCATCTGCAGTTGCAAACCTATAGGGATTATAAAAATTTGACTTCTTTGGATAAGACTCAATTTTCCTTTAATTTCATTATTTAAAATGAGAGACAAAAGGAAATTTTTTTGTTCTGTAAAATATTTTTAGGAAAGAATATTCAAATATTTATTGCAAAGTAAAAGTGTACAATTTTCACGAAAACTCCGAATAAACCCAGAATAAATCTGTTGAATTCCAATTTTTCCATTTAAAATGATATTTCAGATATTCTTGAATACAAAAGAAAGTAAATTGTAAAGAATTATAAACAAATTTTGAATTAAAATATTTATTGAAAGGTGGTGGTCGGCAATGGATTGAGAAATGCATTTCTAAACATTAAAATATACTCTCAATAATATTCGCATTCTTCTCAAGTTTAAGTGTAAATTGTTCAATTAAAGGGAGCGTGCTACAACATATATATAAAGAGATACTCATTATATTCTCCCTTTTAAGAGATATTGCAATTTATTCTCAAAATAAAAAGATAAAATGTGCTACATGTAGTATTGCTAATCTTCCCGGCGTTGCCCGTGGAATTTCAGAATCTCGCTTTAAATAAAGAAAATAATGTTGACAATCTACTTTTAGCGATATTCTGTCAATAGTTTTCCTTAATTAACTGAAATAAATATTGGCAAAAATATTACCTGAAATAAATATTGGTAAAATATTACCTGAGATTAATATTGGTAAATATATTAACTGAGATTAATATTGGTAAATATATTAACTGAGATTAATATTGATAAATATATTACCTAAGATTAATATTGGTAAAATATTACCTAAGATTAATATTGGTAAATAAATTACCTGAGATTAATATTGGTAAATATATTACCTAAGATTAATATTGGTAAATATATTACCTGAGATTAATATTGGTAAATATATTACCTGAGATTAATAAACTTAAGAGCGAAGTGTCCCGGGTTTCCTTTCACCCCAGGTGTCCCTTTTCTTTTTGCATTTCCTGAAATAATTTCAATTTTTAACTTTTGTCTCTTTTTTATGAATTAACATTGTCAAAAGACACAATATTATTATGTATGCAAGAGTTTATTTAATGAAAACGGAAAATGGCTGTAAAGATGTGTCTATTATGGCTTTGCTGCCAGGTGAACAGTGAATAATATAATTTTCTTGTTTTACTTAGTACAACCGTATGCAGTCATAAACATAGCAGACGAAAATCTTACGGATTACAGCCTTCCCAGTAGGGTATCACTATACTAAATCAAAGAATTATTTTAAAAGACGATATCGAATTCGTCACTGTCTCCCATGTTCATTGGGACACCCTGTATTATAAAGAGGACTCTTATGATTATATAATTAAAGTAATAATTACTCTCGCCGTTTAGCCGCACTTCGTATTAAATAACGTTTTTAGCTGAAGTGCCCGGCGTTTTCCGTGAAATTTCAAAAATTTCATTAATGTTTTAGCCTGTGTCACCCCTAGGATACCCTTAAAAATGTGTATAAAATTTTATCCAGCTGTTGGCAAGCTATGGCTATTGACTAACATATTTATATAAATGAAAACTTTAGTCCTACCCTAGTCCCTCCTGGAAATTAGTCCTACCCCATTCCTACCTGAAACTTAAACCCCACTCTACCTGGAACTAAAACCCTTCCCCACCTGGAACTTTAACCCTTCCCTACCTTGAACTTTAATCCTACCCTACCTGGAACTTTAATCCTACCCTACCTGGAACTTTAACCGTACCCTACCTGGAACTTTAATACTACCCTACCTGGAACTTTAATCTTCACCTAACTGTAACTTAAATTCTTCCCTACCTGGAACTTTAACCCTATCCCACCTGGAACTTTAATCCTATTTTACCTGGAACTTTAATCCTACTTTACCTGGAACTTTAATCTTCCCCTACCTGGAACTTTAATCCTACTCTACCAGGAACATCCCTACCCTACCTGGAGTTTTAATCCTACCTTACTTAAACTTGAATCCTACCCTACCTGGAACTTTAGCCCTACCCCATTCCTACCTGGAACTTTAACCCTATCCTGCCTGGAACTTTAATCCTACCCTACCTGGAACTTTAACCCTACCCTACATGGAAAATTAATCCTACCCTACCTGGAACTTTAGTGCTAGTCAATTCCTACGTGGAACATTAATTCGACCCCACCTGGAACTTAGAGCTTTCCCCACCGGGAACTTTAACCCTACCCCACCCAGAACTTTAGTCTTACCCCATTCCTATCATACCCTACCTGGAACCCCGGGTCGACCCTTCTCCATCCCTCTCCAGGCCGCTACAGCTACTCCCCAGTCCCCCTCGTTATCCTTGATTAACATACCCCTCCAACTCTTGTCATTTTTCATCACCTAAAGATTAGAGTAAATAAATATACAAGTAAGGTGTACTTGAGTACAAGCGGAATTAAGTTGATGTAGATTAAAAAACATTTCTCACAATAGAAGGCATGAAGTTTATAGATAAAGTCTGTAGAAAGCACGCATACTCCTGTTTTCTTTCAGCTTTCAGCAGACTCAGTGAACTCAATGCCGGAATATTAATTAAAATGTATACGTTGCAGAATGCTGAGATGCCAAGGGCAGGGTGGGTTTAGTTTCTGCAATTGTATGCTAAGCTAAATCTCCAATCTAGGCCTACCAGCAGGCATTTTTTTAGTTCTTCTTTATTTCTTGGATGTCCTTAAGTAAATCTTTTGACGTCGAGGTTTGGATAATTTGGAGAAGTTGGAAGTTTGGAGAGGGTTAGGAAGAGGCGTATTGAGGAATTTTTCATTGCTGAAAAAGGCCTACTTGTTCCTCGCTTTATAGTTATTTCCGACTTGTCTGGAATTGATGAACTCATATAGTTTATCCCCACAATATGTATATAAGAAGTACAAAAATATCCTTTTTATACCCAACTCTGGATAAGATCTTCCGAAGCAATCCATTCTTAAGAGCAAGATAAGTTCTAGTTTCATGTTTAAGAGCAGGATAAGTAAAAAACCGGTATCAGCGTGAACTTCACCCTGATTTTTGAGTTTCTATATTCCTTTGGATCAGATGTAAAGCAGAGAAAAGCTAAAGATGAAGTTTCACTATTTATTTCCTTTATTCCTTTATCTTGTCTGGGATGAATCCCGCATTCTACTCAGCGCTTAAACTACTCCCAATCCTGGGACCTTACAGGAATGTTACTTTTTTAATTTCATTTTTACTTTTGTATTCGAATCCTTTTTTGTACTCAATAAGTGAAATTAACTTTTGAAATATTTAGAATAAAAGATACTTTGCTAATGATATAAAATTGAGTTGGCAACATTTATTTTAAAATATTATTTAAATTTTACCAGAAATACATTTGTTTAAGTTTGAAGGTTTAAATATATATTTGAAAATGTTAGCAGGGAAATGGATAATAAAACTTTAGAATTGGTGGTATCCAGAGTCAAAATTTTTATTTTTTCGTTAACTGTATATTTTTATAAAATCTAAACAGTTTTATGTATTATCAAAAAATCACCAAAAACTAATGATTGTTTTTGTCAAATGATGCGGTTTTAGATTAGTAAGTACCCTTAAAGTGAATATATAGAGGTATTTAGTCTCTGCTTTTCTAATCCATATATCTTTGCAACCCAATGTCATATACCTTAGATATTTTAAACTATGGCTTCTCTTAGATCAAAGAATCTAAGTTTGAAATATGGTTTACACCAACAGATTGCAAAGATATAGGACTTAAAAAACTAAATTCCTTTACTTACACATGATGTCATTCCCAATTCTTTCTCGTATCCCAATTGATCTATACCAACTAAATGTGCCACTAGCGCCATCTTTCCCCTGAAATAATACAAAATCAAGCTAATAACGTAAATTCCACGTTAGATTGAAATTTTAAATGTTTTCAATAATAACTCAGGCACCTCTGACCCTTTAGTAAAAGTAAATTCAACATAAAGTCTGACCGCGTCAACCTTGTTGCACTAGTTAGTCCTATTAATTGTCTGCTTTATTTACCCAATGTCCGGGTGATACAGTACAAACTGGGACCGGAAAGGTTGACCCGGCTCGGAAATTAAAATGTACTACGGCTGCCTGTGAACTCCTCTCATCGAAGATCTATTGAAAGGAACAAAATTGTTATAAACTTCTAATATGTAACCGGATACATTTCTTGTTATTATAATTGTTTAAACGTCTAATATGTAACCGGATAAATTTCTTGTTCTCATAATGGTTTAAACTTCTAATATGTAACCGGATGCATTTCTTGTTCTCATAATTGTTTTAAACTTCTGATATGCATATCGGATACATTTCTTGGTCTCATAATTGTTTTAAACTTCTGATATGTAATCAGATACATTTCTTGTTCTCATAATTGTTTTAAACTTCTGATATGTAACCAGATACATTTCTTGTTCTCATAATTGTTTTAAACTTCTGATATGTAACCAGATACATTTCTTGGTCTCATAATTGTTTTAAACTTCTAATATGTAACCGGATACATTTCTTGGTCTCATAATTGTTTTAAACTTCTAATATGTAACCGGATACATTTCTTGGTCTCATAATTGTTTTAAACTTCTAAAATGTAACCGGATACATTTCTTGTTCTCATAATTGTGCATGAAATCAAAACTCAGAAATGATTCTGTCTAGTTCCAAGACATCAGCCAAAGACAAAACAAATTATGAAATTGATTATTTACAAAATTATTGTTTTTATGATATCAAAACCCACTAATAGTAAAACTGCAAAAAAAAATCATTATTTTAGTCTCAACCATGGAAAAAGTATAAGACTAGTCAGAATTTCGCAGTAATCCATGATTTTTAACATTAAAGCCTTAGAGCAATATACAGTATATGGTTTAAAAGTAGTTTTAATGAAAACATTTTATAATTAAAAGATATTTACCCGCAAAATAGTTGAACAGCTGACATAAGAAGAGGAATTGAATGAATAATATAAACTGTCAGTTTCTTTTCTCCTTTCTCATCCAGGATTCTAACAAGTGAAGGTTATTTTTTTTAAAGTTATTTAAAAAGTTAACAATTAAGTTTTGTTTACAACATTATTGTTCAAGCACACACAATTTTAGCGTTAAAAAATGAGTCTTCGCTGTTGAGACAAGCACATCCTGGGGGGGGGGGGGAGTGCAGAAGTCCTCAATTGGTAATCACCGCCACCCAAAAGTGTTTTGCGGTTTGCGTTCTCCTCAATTGGTAACCTCCACCACCTCAATTGGTAATCAGATGTAGTAATCTCTGTTTGTTTGAATGTATGTCCGATCATAACTCAGAAAATATTTTTAGCCGATCGAACCAGAAGCTGCTGCCTCCATATAATTTCGAAATCAGATTAATTTGGGAATCCACCAATGAAAACTGGAAAATTTGAGAAACTTTTTAGTTTTATGATGTAAAGCAAAAAATGTTAAGACAGTTAGAAGAATTAATAATTTGAGACGCAAAGCCTAGCAGATTTATCTTGTTTTTCTTTCTTTGTTTGTTTGTATAACCAATAAACATAAAAACTTTCTGAAAAAAAACTTTTAAAGTTTTTACTTTTATCATAAACATGATTCCTGCCCATAGACATAGTAGACAAGCCTTGATTAAAACCTTAATATAAAAACCATTATTTTAGTTGAACTGATTGCCCCATAGTCTGTCCTTACAGAAAATTAATTATGTTCTACGTCACTATTAATATACTAGTAGAAGGAGTAGAAGAAAGGTATAAACACTGGAAAGTAAACAGATTATTTACTATAATTGACACAGCTTTAATTTATCAAAAATACTTCTTGGGGGAAAGTAGAATGTTAAAAAAGAACTTGAGGGTAACGAAACTTGACACTTGTCACACGTTTTAATTTTCTAATCCATATATTTTTGCAACCTGATTGTGGAAACCTTTGATATTTTTAATGTTGACTATTTAATTTACTAGACTTTACAAGTGAGAAATATCAAAGATCTGCGACATCAGGTAACAAAGATATAGGGATTAGAAAATTAGAATTTGTGGTGAGCAGGGATATTTTAATATTCATTTTTTATTTTTATATTTTTGTGTTTGTCCAAAATAATGAGGGAAAAACTATGATGTGATAAAGAATTATTGCAGTTTTTCATAAGGAACATTTTTGTATTGTTTGGAATTGAAACTATTCGTATTATAACCGTGTAATTCTTGTTTTTCTAAATATTATTAAATATTAGCATCTAAAAATTCCTAAAATTTATCAATTGCAATCTTTGGAGACATTTCATCAGTAAAAGGAAGAACAAAGGCGACATTCATTCCACAGTTTTCTGGTTCTCAGTGAAGATTCCAGTAAAACAGTTTATTCTGGTTCTCAGTGTGTAGATTCCAGTAAAACAGTATATTCTGGTTCTCAGTGTGTAGATTCCTGTAAAACAGTTTATTCTGGTTCTCAGTGTAGATTCCAGTAAAACAGTATTTTCTGGTTCTCAGAATAGATTCCAGTAAAACAGTATTTTCTGGTTCTCAGTGTAGATTCCAGTAAAACAGTATTTTCTGTATCTCAGAGTAGATTCCAGTAAAACAGTATTTTCTGTATCTCAGAGTAGATTCCAGTAAAACAGTTTATTCTGGTTCTCACTATAGATTCCAGTAAAACAGTATATTCTGGTTCTCAGAGTAGATTCCAGTAAAACAGTATATTCTGGATCTCAGTGTAGATTCCAGTAAAACAGTATTTTCTCGTTCTCAGTGTGTAGATTCCAGTAAAACAGTTTATTCTGGTTCTCAGTGTAGATTCCAGTAAAACAGTATTTTCTGGTTCTCAGTGTAGATTCCAGTAAAACAGTATTTTCTGGTTCTCAGTGTAGATTTCAGTAAAACAGTATTTACGTTTTTTATTTAAAAAATGATTGACCTTAAAAAATTGTGCAAAACTGATATTGATTTAAAACAGTTCTTTTACAGTTAAAGAATCGGTGAAAAATATAATAGATATTTTAAGTTTAAATATTTTCGAGCAAAAATATGAGTTTAATATGTTCGGATGTAGTTTCGTGTGGCTCATGATGGTCCAGGGAACCCCCCCCCCAAGTTCTGTAAGCGTTTTTTAAATACAAAAATGCAATTTTGTAAACTGCACAGTTTTTAATTTAAGAAAATGCTTTTATTTCTGTTTATTTTACTAAGGAATCTCTATATCTGTGCAACCCGATGTTGTAGACCCTTGATATTTCAAACTATGAATTCTGTCTAAGGCAAAGTGTCCAAGTTTGGAATATACGATGTTTACAACATTAGCTTGCAAAGATATTGGAATTTGAAAGTTTAACTTTGTGGTAAAAACTCAGTTCTTTAAGTGCCAGACTAAATCTTTAAGTAACCCACCATTTCAAAGTTGTACGCCCGGCCGTACACTTTGAACCTTCAACTTCAATTTCAACTTCAACTTCAAAATTTGAATTCTAGCAATTTCTGACATTGTGTTCTTAACTCTGTGAATCCAAAATCACTTTTATAGTGTAATCTCAGTTTAAAATAATTTATATTTTGCTGAAACTTCTAGAATATCTCATTTATCCAAGATCAGACAAACGTTTAAAGGGTACCGTTGTTAATCGGACAGTCCACTCAATCCCTTGAATTCAAAACTTCAATTTTTAGAAAACGTGACACAGAAATTAAGCGAACTTACTTAGTACTTTATTCAAATGGATTTGATAAAAGCATTGTGAAATTCCCGACATTGTGCAACAGAATGAAATTTGTGAGAAATTTATTAAACAAATGTTTTGACATTTTATTTTAAACATAAATATTAAATAAGTATAAAGGAATCTAGTTCTTGCTACAAACTCAGATTTTTATAGATACAGCCTGCTTTTAAAAAGTCTCATCAATTTTCAAGACAGGTTCTACTTTGAAGTGTCACAACCATAGAGAATAGAATATACATTAGAGGGGAATTTACTAGAAAAAAAGTGTAAAACGGCCATTTTGTTGTACTGTTTCCATACTGCAGGTTTTCTTCACATATTTATGCTATATAACCTATTGGGCCCTGGAATATCATTTTATAGAAAATCTTAAACTAATGTTAAAAGAAAACCAAATTATGAAATAGGCTGGTTTCATAATTGACCAATTATCATTTCACATAGACTCTATGCCTTTCACTTTACAAACGATGATTTTCCGTTATAACTATAAACCAAATGATGTTTTTTAATCACCTAATTCATTATAAAGTTTATTTAACAGCTTTAAAAATTTCGAAATTGAAATGAATAGTCTAGGGAACATACTGTATTAATGTACTCTACTGCACATAATTTGTGAACATTTACATGATTTGTACACTTTGAACTCACTTTCAGGGTAAAAGGGACTGAAAAAATGCATACCGAGAGATTCTTTAAATTCCACTCTAATATATATTCTATTCTCTATGGTCACAACACATTGGGCTTAAATTTTACTGCTCTAACTCACTTCTGCTTTTCTGTAGCCCTTTTCATTCCATTTTAGCACTTTGAAGCACTTTTTGTTAGCTTTGGTTGTTATCTTTGCCACCTAGTGTCGGAGACCTCTCATGCACCATCAGGTTGCAAACGCTATATGAGATTAGAAAATTTGAATTTGCGGCAAATTCCAGTTCCCTATTGCTATGACTATGAGGTGTAAAATCGGAAAGAAAACCTTTAAAAAACGGGATTAATTGGGAAAGCTTAAAAAAAAGTTCATCAGACCTTTCATTAGATCATTTGGTCGAATTTATAAGGATTTTTTTCTGAACTCTCCTTTTAACTTTAGATTTAGATTTGTTTCTTTTTTGTTTGTTAAACTTTCAAACCTTATTACATGTGCTTAGGATCCGGATCCGGATCATTTGGATCCGCAAGATTTTGGCTTCCTAAATCCGGATTCGAATCCGCATTAAAATTAAATAGATCCTAGGCACTGTTTTTAAACAATTTTTAGGAAAAAACATTTTTGAATTCTGACCCTTTATGTTTTTGGATTGAAACAAACAAATCAGAAAGCAAGCAATGCAAAAAATATTGATTTACTAGGTTTGGAAACCAGCTTGTAGTCTGGTAACTAAACAATGTCTATAAAAGCCGACCGACCGACTCAACGCAGAATTTTTAAACCAAGCCAAGAACATTCCCGTAGTTCTATATCGAGGTCCCAAATCAAATTTGAGTCAAATCAATCAAGGGGTTTCTTAGTTATGATCACACATACAAACAAACACCAAGACAAACAGAGACTACCACTTTATATATATATAAGACTAGCTGAATTTGCCCGTGGAATTAAAAATTGACATTTACCAAAAGATTTTAGTCAATTTGTTCCAGCCATCTGGCCAGCTATAGCTAACATATATATTATGTGCGAAGAGCTTTATTTATAAAGATAAGCATCAATTCTAGGCATAAAATTTTAAGAATTTATATTTAGTTTCTAATAATTTTTAGATTATGTTGAAGCAAGAATACCAAATAATCAAATTATGTTTGTATACAGTGATAACCAGAAAACAATGGAATAGGAAGAGGACATTATAAGAATACTTAAATGTATTTGATGTTGTTTCACAGCATAAAGTCTTACAAGACACAAATTTAGTGAAATGGGTCTTTTTACACTTCTTTGACTACTGTCTGATGCTCATTGGACTTGTTTAAAACTATAACTTCTCGATTCTAAAAGTCGTCTTCATATTACAGAGTTTTCTGGTTATGACTGTATTAAAATTTACCCATGTGAAACTGCTCTGCAGGTGTTATCTACCCCTGGTGGAAGACGACCTAGAGGGATAGGACCCCACAGAGACTCAACGTTTTCTACAATATCTCTTCGTCATTATTCTCATCAAAATAATGATTGTTTTCTAAATTTTCCTAAATTAATTTTAAAAATCAGAAATTCTTGGCTTTTCTGATGTTGGATCAGCAATATGATCAGTGTAAGTATAAAACAAATGAAAAATTGGATATCTATACATTTAGTAAAGACTGAGTTCTCTTAATTTTATATCCCTATATCTTTGAAACCAGATGTTGTGCACCTTGATATTTCAAACTATGAACTACGTTGATTAAATTGTCTAAGTTTACATTATCAGATTGGAAAGAGATTAGAAAATTTGAGTGTGTTTGCTACAAAAACTCATTTATTTTATCCAAATTTTTAATAAAAACAACTGCAGAATTGGTTAATTGATTTCAGTAAAATAGGCATTTAAAATAAAGACTTCTATTTTAGCACAATACATGAAACATGAAACTTTTTAAAAACAAATAATGACAAGATTAGTTCCTGGCATAACACAGTTATAGAAGGATCCCTGCTGGATGGTAAAGACGACCTCTGCTAGGGTCCCCAATCTTTCATTAGCCATACTGATGGTCACCTCTGTATGCAGGAACTTATCCTTGTCCGTCTAAAACAACACTCTTTATCCCAATTTTAAAACATTTTGTCGTTGTAATTTTACGTAACCCTTCACTTGGACAGGGGCATAACCGACCTTTAAACTTCTAACTGATCTACATTGTGGAAGATATCATAGTTTGCCTAGCTTGAAAAGAATTCAAATATTCAAATTCAAAGCTTTAAACATGGATATCACATTCATTCTTGATCTGCAGTGGATACCGTCGTGAATTGGACAAGTACTTCTGTAAAGTTAATATTCTAGTTGATTGATTGATTGTAAAATTATACCTGTTTATCATTTATTCCCATCCGGTGGGTCACAGTCACAGTTTTTTCTTCAGGGGAGGGCTGAGCAGGAATTCTAGTATTATCATTAATATTATTA